ATTTATCTTGTAGGAGCACAATACCATATTTTATGGACCATCCATAAAAGCTCCTTTGATGTAAAAGGTAAAATGCCAACTTAACTCACAGCCTTTGGGGTTGCTCCAGGCTTTTAAAGACTTGTTCCAGTGCACAAACACTGATTGGGCTGTGCTAGAATTAGCATACACAAAAGAAATGAGTGTTGTTTCCCTTAAATTGGTTGAAAGAGAAGGGTAGTGTCCCTAGCTCTACATGTCTGCATGTACATGCACACATATTCAGTAAACACAAATGTGGTGCTCAGTTGTTATCCCTTTGCCTTCACAGGTTTTCTGTAGGAGTCTATTGTTTCAGAAACATTAAGTAATGCAGCAACATGCTGATTGAAGAATCTAATGGCCATTAGCCAACAGCACAGAAGGAATACAGTACAGTATCCCATAGCTCAGGGTACTGTGTGTGTGTGTGTGTGTGTGACAGCAAGACAGCGAGAGGGAGAACAAGGGAAAATCTATGTATGTTTTCAATTATTTCCGTGAATTCATGTTCATGAGTCTTTCAATTAAATGTCAGGACAAAAACAAGTGACCAGAAATCGGAACAATGCACACAGGGAATGGGAAAATTACCCCTCATACACACATATGCTCACATATTATGCAGAATGTCCACATCGCAGACACATTAATATAGCTATGTAGACACAATAAGCAGTCATCAGCAGGTGTTCATGATGCTTGCTGCAGCAGACTCCTTCATGCTGCTGAGGAGGTTGTTGCCTTTCTCATTACAATTCAGTGGAGACGCCATCAATCTCCTGAGATCAATATGTCTTTTACCTCCCCTTTTCTCTCCACTCTTTAATGTGTGTGTGAGGATATGAATGTGACTTTAGGGAGATATATAAGCCAGGTACTTACTATGTCCTTCGCTTAAGAGACCTAACATTAGACTGATATGGACAGTTTAAGGCAGAGTAAGTTGCCAGCTCTCTATCAGTCATTCTGGTGTTGCTTTGTTGTCCTGCTAGTAGGATGGACATTACCACCAAGTGGTACAAAGAGGAACTGAAAGAGAAAAGTTCTCATATGGCTAACATTTAAATAAACAACAAAAGATTATTGATTATTGAGATAAGATGGCCAAGTTGTTGTGAGTTGCTGAACTATTTATGGTACATTTACTGGTTTTTATTAAGAGCTTTATGCTTCAAGATTCTTCTTGTAGATCATTTTAGATTCTTCTAAATAGATACAAACTGTTTTTTGACCCTTTTAGCTGGTCATGATCTCACTTTCACATTTTATAGGATATTATAAATAAGAAGAAGAAGAATAGGAGTCCCTAAAAATATAATCCGTGTGATCCCAGTATTCTTCCGAGGCCCGTCTAGAAATGGCATGTGTATATGTGTGCGAAGGCATGCTACATAGACTAAAGGATGGCTGGGAGGGAACTAAGCAGCAACTGCATTTAACAGCTGAGCTCTGAAGACAGTTGTATATGCTTTTAGCATATGTCAGGCGTAGAGTGATGTATACTAATGCCAATAAACAGGAGCATGACCTGTGTGCAGACTGATTTCCTTATGTCTGTTTTCGTATGATATAACAACGGTTTGGATTCCTGTTGGTAACAAGTGGTTGTGTGTTTGGTTCCCAGGTTCCCACCAGCCTGTGCTGCCCAGAGGTGGGTACATGCGCTCCCCCTCGTGGACACGCTGCAGCAAAGTGGAGCCCCCACGGGAGAGAAAACACCACAGCGACTCAGACACCGCAGAGCCCTTAATGAAGCTGGAAAGGCCTAAGCAGCCGTGATATCTGAGGTGATACAGCCAGACCACAGAGAGAGAGAAAACCCAGAGCCAGAAGGACACAACCAGAGTGGGAACACAACGCGGACCAGAAGCCCCCATCTGCCACTGTGCACTCACATAATATTTCATGGTGCTGAACAGATGAGTTCAGGTTGAACTCTGGACAAAGTGCTCTGTGCTCTAACTACAGATGTTGAGATGTGCAATACACACACTGTCCTTCTCTCTCCCTCTACTCTCCTTCTTTCTCTCCCTCACACACACAGACACACACAAGAATTGTGTTTTTCATGCAAGGGGTTCTTAATGCACTCTGGGCTGACAGATGATTTTAAGCTTTGTTTTTTGAATGACAGACAGGGTATGAGGTAAGCAGAATAATAACAGCACCTCCATTCTTATAGCCTCTCAGGGTGGGAAATAGCCTGGACAGCGAGATTGGTTCCTAAATTGCGTCCACAGCGTGTGCAGACCTTGCACATAAAGTTCAGACATTGGAATTCACATTGAATTACCGGGATATGATTTTAAACAAATCAACAGTGCTGTTCAAAGGAAAACATCATGCTGAGGCTCTTACTTAATGTGTTGGCTTGAAAATGAGACGGTTTGGGGTTTTTTTTGTTTCCTGCAATGAAGGTAACTTCAGCAGAAGTGGACATCAGTGAGGCCACGCTCTTTATATCCATCACACCTTCTTCATCTTAATGAAGAATGTGTGTTGCTATCATAATTGCCTAAATGAAACATGTTGCACTTCTCTCACTGAATTGTATCAACAGTGCTCCCCAGAATTATTGGCATTTGGTGCAGATGACACAAAAGATAAAGAGACCAAGTAGCAAGCTATATGCACACTTTTCCATACTCAAAAACTTGCTTTCACAATTTGTTAAATGATAAAAGAAATTGGAAAACATTTTTTAAAACTTGGTTGCTGCTACTAAGATAATTAGAGTTGGTCCTTCAAAGTTAACTTGATGAGGAATACTTGAAATAGTTAGACACAAAGGGAGAATTGCACCATAGTCTGGACGGCTTCAGTAAGCTCTGCATGAATGCCAAAAATACAACAAAGTGCCAACAATTTTGTATTCATCCTTTAAAAGATGAATTTAACCGATAATGCAATATATCACATCTTTCTAAGCAAAGGTCATAGCTGATTACTTGATTTATTTATCTCACGTGTAGCATGTTTATGCCAATAATTCTGAATGCTGTGACATGATGTATCAAAAGTGACACTGGGATGATGAAGAATAAATAACTCTTGAAAAAGTTTGTTTTATTGTGTCATATATTAATTACGCTTCAGAAAAGCAGCCCCATTCTGTACTGTGTGGAGAGCATGGTTTTTTATGGTCATTAATTTACACTACTGTATACAAATCTTCCTTAGTGTTAGTGTAGTGTTATTTGACAGCATCACACAGGCACAAAAATGCTGTAATGAAAATACTGTTGTTAAAAAAGACACAGTAACAATAGAATTAAAATTTTTAAGAAATTATATTTTCTTGAAAGAGAAACTGGGCTGATGGAATTAAAGACAGACCGCTGGGGTATAAAAATTGTTTTATATCGGTGCGAGCCACAAATTGTCAATTGTTATCTCAATCTAAAATCAAAAATCCTCACTGAAATGTAAAAAGAAATATTCAAGCAAAAACAAGAACAGCGCATTGTCAAGCACACAATATGTTTCATACACACTGATATACAACCAGCCAGCTCATTTATCACAATAATTAATGTTTTTCAAAATCTGGATTTCAACACCATGATGTTCCAAGTGTCGTGCTGGTAGGGGTCCTTAAACCATTTACTGAAAAACCTGATTCAAAATTGTAAAAGGGCCCACACTGCTCACACATCAGTTCTTTTATAGTAAACTGGTTTACTCAGCTCAGGAGCTATTGGCTTAACCATTAAGACACTATTAACATTATGATGACATTGTAGTAGTGGTCCTCAAATAGATGAAATGAGAATGCTACATTTAGCTTTCTTGGCTCAAATGGAGGAAAAACATTCAAAAATAAGCCACAAATGACAGAATGAATGAATTCCTGTATAACAGCAATTTGTTCTCATGTTAATAAATATGGGAGGAGGGTTTCAAGATATCAAGATGAAGAAGGCCACCCAAAACATCCATGGAAAAGCCAATTAAACTCAAAACTCATTTGTGTTATCCACATTAAACTAAAGTGAAGCACAGAAAGCACATGCCAGGGAGTCCTTTCATGTGATTAACAAAAAATAGTGTGGTGTGAGTACTGTGACCAGTGAATGAGTTACTGTTTCATCTCGTGTCGGGCAGACCTGGCAGGTCGCACATATTTGTTGTTAATTGTTGATCTTTGTTGTTGTATATTTTTATGTTGTCAGTTTATATATTTATATGTACACAATATTCTCTTCTGTTGCGTTACTTCTGCACAGCACAGACCCAGAATAATGCACATGTATATATCTGCAACGTTGGTCTTCCATTCCATATTTATACAGTATATTTCTACATTTATTTATGTTGACTGTATGTTTGTCTACGTGTAGCACCTTATCACCACAGCAAATTTCTCCTATGTGTAAAACACTACTTGGCAATAAAGCTCCTTCTGATTCTGATTCTGATGAAACATTCAGTGGATAATGTTATTTTAAGAGGCACTGTGAGGTAGTGTGAGTGAGCGAAGAGTTTAAAAAAATAAATAAAATGTGGTGTAGTACTTTCTTAGCTTATATTTGATTCTCACTAAGCTCAGTTGTTCCCACTTCTGAAGTAACCATCAACTGAAAGTAATGGATGTCAACATCAATACTGACTCTTATTACTATGGGACACTGAGGGGGAGAAAACAACCTACAGTACATGTGATCCAATAACATTTGTAATAATATCAGTCATATGCGCACAAAGTAAATTTAAAAACAGATTTATACCAGGTTGAGGAAGGTTGGGGTCTGCTGGAAGCCTATAATGGTGATTAAAATGTGTTAATGTATTTATGGTGAGACACAACATCCCAGAAATGTAAGTCTTCATTGCACAATGAAGTGAAAGAAGACTTGAGACAGTCAAAACTACCTTTGAAATCTTAAACATCTGAGAAACAAGAGAAGAAACCTGGTTTAAACACTCAGGGAAAATAGTTCGCTATCACCATAACAAAGTGGTGGCTGAGAGTTGAAAAATTCTTATTAGAATTATAGATTTATGGAAATCTCTACCACAGACTAAAAAGTATACATTACACTGAAATTGAGAAAGGTTGAATAAGGGCAATGAGCGTTAGTGTAAAATGTATCTTGTATAATACCAGCAATGTGTAACTGTCTAACACACACCCCAAACAATGTACCTGTCACATGATGTTAACTGATTTTGAATTTTAAAAAGCATATTTCATTTGATTTTTGTAACTTTAATTTAGCTTAATAACTTTCCTGACTGTGACTACAGATTATTCTGTGGTATGTTTGTCAGTGTCATTGCACTGTAGGACACAGCGTGGAAGAAACGGTGTAGAAGGCACCTCCAGTGAAGTGTAAGCCACAAACTGCACTCTTCACAGAAGCTTAGTGACGTTAAATTGCCCTAACATTAAAATGAGGAGTACTTTTTTGCGATTCCCGCTGGAATATAGATACAAAATTACAAATTGCATATTCTAGGCCATTTAAGACCTGTGCAACACATCACCATCCATCCCTTGGCAGCTGTCCTTGAGGTGAACAAGTTTTTTTTAAGAGCCCTGACAGGCTGCAGTCTGGACCAGATGGTGCTGACATTGAGAAATATTCACCTGAATCCAGCGGAATATTTGTTTTGGGGCTGCGTGCCCACCTACAGGTAAAGGGCTGATTTGTTTTGCCGACTCTGAGACTGTTTTTCATCCCCTTTATTCTTGTCCCAGTTCTTTAGCCCTTCAGGTAGAGAGGTGTCCTCCTCAAATTCCCCAAGCCCTTCAACAAACTCCTCATATGATGACTTCTCTTGACAGGGACGAGTTCCTAGCAGCTCCACCATGTCAGCCTTGTCTAGAATCTCCTTTTCTAGAAGACGTTTTGCCACCTGCAACACATGACCAATAGTAAACAACAAGAATTTTAATGACTTAATTGCTAAAATGCTAACTTCAGCATCATAAAAATGTGCTACTGATCGCAGACATAATGAACAGATTTTCCTTTCGCAACACAAAACAGGCTGTGGAGCAACAGTAATAGCTGTAGTAGTTACATCAAATAGCAGTTGTATTTATTCATTATTAAATAAAGATAGTTACAGTTAGCTATCTTCATCACAATTCTTCCAACCAGTTTTTGAAAATGCTAATTTAAAGCACAAATGAGCTATCAGTTGCTGCATCACACTGTTCAGTGATCTGCTTTGGAGTACAAGACTCTTTATCTTTACTTCTCTCCATCCTTTTCGTCTTTCTAATCGTTCTCTGGACAGTGATGACAGTTCTCACCTTCTCCACCATTTCCTTCTTATCGGTGACAAGCTGAAGTGTTCGTCGGAAGGCCGCATCTATAAGCAAGCGGACCTCCTGATCTATAAGCTGGGCTGTAGGTTCACCGAAGGGTTTCTCAGTTACTACGTCAACCTGCTTGGGGAGGTCAAAGGACAGCTGACCCACCGGCTCGTTCATACCAAACTGTACAACCTAAAATTTGAAGAGAAATGACCACCGTAAGTCAAATGACAAACAGTGTTGCTTCACTTCAAACCAACCACTTCTTATGTTGCTTAGGTTTGGTTATACCATGATTCTCTGACGAACCAGATGTGTTCAAGTGACATCTTCCGACAGGGTTGTTCAATCAGAACTGGCATTGGAAGAAGGAGTCAATGTGCTACTATATAGATAACTGTCTAATGTATATGACAGTATGTGTTGTGTTGGATGAAAATATGTGTTGAGAGATGCTTTATTTCTGCATTTTGTGTTGTCTTGTAAAGCTGCAGAACGGACAGAGCCCAAAACAAATTTCCCTTCGGGGACAATAAAGTATATCTTATCTTTTTTTTTGTGCAAAATGTTGTGATTACCTGTGCATAGGCAGACTGTGTGACTTTCCTGAGGTCATCCTGCGCCCCCGTGGTGATTCGGCGAAAGAAAACCTGCTCTGCCACTCGACCTCCCAGCATCATGCACATTCTGTCAAATAGCTGCTCCCTGGTGAACAGGCACTGTTCTTTAGGCAGATACTGCACATAACCCAAACCTTTCCCTCTGGGAACAATGGACACCTTAGGGAGTACATTATAATCAACCAAATGAATTGTTATTATACACATGTGGTGAAACTTAATGTGATTGTACAAGGTAAAAACAAATTATTCAAGGGCTGCAGAGGAATTCAGTCATGCAGCAGTACGAGAGAAAAGAAGTGGTCTGAGTACCTTAAGCAGAGGGTCTGCATGTTCTAGGAACCAGCCCGTCACAGCATGCCCAGCCTCATGATACGCCACAGTAGTCTTCTCTGCAAGCTGCAGTACCTGAGTCTTCTTTTCCAAACCTGAGAGCAAGGTGGATGTCTTACCAAACTGTACAACTGTTGTTGTACAAGCAATAGGTGGGTTTAGGGTTGATGTGTCCTACAAGCATGCAGTAGTATAATTGATCAAAACTTTATACTACAGAAATGTATTGCAAATCTCATCACTTTAAGGCCATTGCTTTTATTACTGACCAACTTTATTAAGGTAAGTACTGTCATAATATCAAGTGAATCATAAATGTGGTTGTTAACTTACCTCCGATAACTCTATCGACTGCCTGCTCAAAGTGCTTAGTACTGATATGCCGGTTGAGGTGACGTGCAGCTATTAGCGCAGCTTCATTACATACATTAGCAATATCAGCCCCTGCAACACACGAGAGGCACAACAGCCAAGTTAGCCTGTGGTGTGATGAAAAAAAGAAATACAGTAAGACACAACTGTATGAACTTTTTAGATCAATCCAGAGACTGGGCTGTTTGCACACACACGGACATGGACACAGATCTCTTGTCCTTACCAGTAAAACCTGGGGTTAGCGCAGCTAGCTTCCTGGCTAAACTGTCTACTTCTATACTGGAGTCCAACTTCAGAGGTCTTAAGTGCACCTTAAAGATGGATGCCCTGCCTTTAATATCTGGTGGGCCTGTGGAAAAAAGAAAATATTGTGAATTTTAGGATTAATTTCAGGACATCCTCTTTTTAAAACAAAAGAATGATAAGAAGTGAGCTAAAAAATATCTAAATAACTGTTGCTGCAGAACTAAAGTCATGAAATGAATGTTGATAATGCCTCCAACTTTACCAGAGTGTATACAATACATCAGTGTGTTGACTCAGCTTCTGAACATCATGAGAAGCTCATTCAGCACCTGCATTACAGGAGTCCATGTCATAGAGCTAATTTTCAAGATGCTACTGACAAATGATTAACAGCCACCACATAGCTATAGACACCATGGCTGTCTACACACTTTGGATTACTTCAAGTCAAATAACAGCAGCATAAAAGAGAATATAAAAGGACGTAAGCTAAAGAAAGTCAAATTAGAAATGCTGGTGCCACCAACTGTAATGTGACATTTATTTTGTAGTGCTGTGCATCAAACTAGGCAGTAAAGTCAACATTGAAAGACTCCCCCGTACAGCAGCATTAACACTTACAAGGGGAGAAGTGTTTTCATGGGCATAGTCACAAGATAAAATCCCAATCATCTTGAAGACAGCCTCTTAAAAATGTGAATATTCTGGAGCTTTTATCTGAAGGTCTGTTCTTAAGCTGACAGCTAAGAGTGACACAAACGTAGCTGAGTGTGTGAAGGAGCATTAGGAGCCTTTTGGCATACTTAGAAAACTTTAACACAATGCATTATTCATGCAGGTTTGAGCCACATTTATTTTTGTTTAATGTTCATAAAAATGCAACAAGTTATGACACTAATTACTGATCAGACATTAATTTGTAATGTTTTTAAGCAACGTTATCTGACCAATACTGTTCACATGTAAGAACAGAAAGATTAAAGGACAGAAAACAGTGTCCCATCCCTCATGTTGGCCTACAGTCATCTAATCCCTCTTTTATAGAAAGCCAGCTCTCTCATTTTGACCCACTTTTTTTGTCAGAGAGAAAACTGCCCTGCCCACCATTGTCCAGCACAGCTGGTGTATAATAAATTAGATCTTAGCAGGCAGAAAAAGATAAACCATTTTAACCGCAAAGATAAAAGCTCACAGTGCGCAACACATGCTTTTAATGACATAACAAGTGAACAGGCGCAAATAAAGAACAGAAGTAAGTCTATTAAGCTTGAAGCTAATTTGTATGGGAACTATACAGTAAGTACAAGATACAAGTGTCAGTAAGGTCATGATTAGCACCTTAACTGGTACCTTAACAAAACAAACTAGACAACGTTGACAGTGATAAATGATGACATAGAGAAAAGATTTAGAGCGTGCATAAGATAAATGTCATTAATTGAAACCTGTTCTCAGGCATCCCGGTGAGAGCAGGGAATTATAAAGCTTGAGAGAAGACAGCTTGGGGCAGACCTCAGACCAGTGCTATACTTTACCTATGTATATATGTCGATCAAAGCGCCCAGGCCTCATCAAAGCTGGATCCAGGATATCCGCTCGATTGGTACCAGCTAAAATGACCACGTTAGTGCTACTGTTGAACCCTGTAAATGACAAACAGCATCTTGTGAAATATTGCACCAGGAAAGGGCGAAAGGCTCAAACACATACAGATAGATGACACAAATACTTACCATCCATTTCCACAAGCAACTGGTTGAGGGTGTTTTCCTGCTCGCTCTGGTTGCCAAAGTTCCCTTTGCCTCTCTTCCTGCCAACTGCGTCAATCTCGTCGATGAAAAGGATGCAAGGGGCATTTTTTCGCGCTGTGGCAAACATATGCCTTATCTTATATGGACAGGGCAAAGAGATGTATAAATCAGTATTCATTACTGCTATAAATAGCATAATTTCCTACAGTGGTATAATTCAAATAGAGAGAGGAAAGATAAGGTACTGTAGATTGTCCTCTGTGTTTGTATCTTTGATATAACAAATTATTGTGTTCACACATTCAACATTTAGCCCAGTACTGACCCTAGCTGGCCCCACGCCAACAAACATTTCTTGGAACTCTGAGCCACTGACGGTAATGAAGGGGACGTTGGCCTCTCCTGCAGTGGCCTTAGCTAGCAAAGTCTTGCCAGTACCAGGTGGACCCGATAAAACTGCACCCTGAAAATGAAACGGTGGCGAAAAGTATCACTTTAAGAGTTAGTTTTTTTAGCCCATACTCGTCACCATCACTGCCCGACCCTATGCCACAATCCTTTATTATATCCAGTATGGCACACCTTTGGGATCCTGGCTCCTAGGTCCTGATACTGCCGTGGGTTCTTCAGGAAGTTGACAAACTCCAAAATCTCCAGTTTGGCCTCCTCGCAGCCTGCAACGTCCTTGAATCGCACGCTAATGTTGTCTTTTATAATCTTTGCTTTGGATTCACTCATGCTAAAGGGGTTTCCTTGCCCCCTACCTCCACGACCTCCCGCCATTGGTCCCTGCCGAGTGGCAAAAAGCAAAAATCCAGCCAGCAGTAAGGTTGGGAGGATGTTCAAAAGAAGTGTACTGTGAGGAAAGACAAAGAAGCTCAATTAGGCACATCCAACATGCATAAAAGTCACTTCAATATGAAAGTTCCGATCAATTCTCACCCATCGCTTTCACTGCTATATAATACAGGTACTTTCTGTGGGGACTCCAGACCCATCTCTTGCTGTGCCATCTCCAGGTTGTGCTCAAATGAGTCGACACTGCCAATGTTGAACCACAAATAGCTCTGAAACATACAAAAAACAGAAAACATAACATGCAGTACACAGTATATGTGTGTATACACTTTAAATCCAAAGCAAGACTATATTACATTTTAAAAAGAAATAACAAGGAAGAGGTCAATTCTTCCTCTTACAAATGAAAATAAGCAATAAATCGCACCATTGCTACTTTCAATGCACTCTGAGGTTTTGCTGCTACAGTCTTACTTGGCCCAGTAGCTTATGGTAGCAAATATTAGCAAACTCTTGGGCCTGAAAAGTCATTTTTGACCTTGGGAATTGTAGTTTGGCCAAATAATCTTAACTCATTTTTTACTAGCATTTTCAACCATATCTCATGGACCTAATCAGTGGATTGGATTGGCATGGATTTTGCTAAGCTGTCAGTCTCGAATGAAAGTTTAGGTCAAACCTAGTAAGAGGGCATTAAAATTATTTTGTCTTTCCTACTTGTTTTACTGTTAAACTACATTTCAAAATTAACCATCATTTCCACTTTTGGTCACAGTGGCTGCTGTTCAGCAAGTTACATAGGGTCATTTTAATCTATATCGTTTGTGTGTGTGTGTGAGCGACATATACATATATTAGTACTATTCATACATATTCATGATGATCAGTTTTATTAACTTTGCTACACGGCGGCAAATCAATCATGCACATTCATGAATTAGACAGCAAGTGTACATAAAAGACTACAGGCTGTGAGGCCATGAACACAGTGAAACTAAATCATTATTAGAACCTATGACTCACCAACAAAGTGACAAAAAAGCATTTTCATGCAACTAACCACTTCTGATGTTTCCACTCCGTGGGCAGGAATTACTTTGACATACTGTTTATTGACAACTTCCAGGTGATCCACCTGTGTAGAGAGCACAATAACCAATTTGTTTATATGACTGCAGAAACAAACATGCAGATAAAAATGCCCTCGTTCAGAAGATACCAAAACTGAAACTCTCTCTGCCTCTTACTAAGCCTCTGCTCAAGTAGTGATGCACAAAGTCCTTCCAGGAGATCTGGACCCCTGTCTCTCGGAAGTAAAAGTACAAAAAAGCTGTGGTCATGCCTGCTGCACCAATTCCAAGGTTGCGAAGTGCTTTTTCATCCAAAGGGAATTCATCCTGTTAGATAAAAGAAATGTTGTAAGGGAGAGGAGACCAACTGATTAAAGAAGAGACTGTCAGAATGCCAGTGAAAAACAAGCCATTCTTCCCACCCTGCAGCTGCATTATGGTGCCTCTCACAACAACTAGGATCTCCAGTGTTATTAGTAAAGTACTATATGTTTTAAGGAAAATATTTCAACATCTGAAGGTTTTAAAAGGTCTGACATATGAATATATGAGCTTAAATTTATTTTCTAACATAAATATACAGCATCAACAAACATTTTGGTAATGCGGCAGTCAGACCAAAGGCGAATTTTCGCCTCGCAACGCTTTCCTCGAGTGAGTACATTCGCTGCAAGTGTTCACACACAACGCCAGAAGGAGATTTTAACGCGATAACGTGAATAAACACAACTCGCCATTACTACAACTGTATGAAGTAAACATTTTGCTGTGATTAAATAGCAATAAACGGATTAAACTGATGCCAAAATAACTACAACATAATGCAGATTTGTTAAACATATGAATTCATGATTTGTCATGTCTGCCAGCAAGACAGCAGGACAAAAACTTCTAAAATGTTTGTTTTCTGAATGGAGTTTGGATCAATCAGGGCTATGCTATGCTAACTTGGTCACAGTAAAGTACAATGATATAATTAATGATAATGATATCAATGATAATGATATAATGAATAAAGTTACAGACACATGTTTTCTGAACTCACCAGGTAGTTCAACCTCCTTGCTTTCTTTTCTCCAAGTAATGTCCAGTTTTGTCCGGTTTTTATATAAATATGAAGTCGTACTCTGACAGAGCTAACGACACTAACTAGCTACCATCTACTATAACTACATCATTCTATAAGGTTAATATTATTAGTATATATTATTTTAGTATTATAGACCTGAATAGTCATTTATGTGACATTATGTGTTATGAAAATTATAAAAAAATGAGTCAAACCAAGCTTAGAATTTACCTTAAAAATTGTCTTATTCCAGCATTTTAGTAAATATATTCCAAGTTACTAGCATTTGTGTGTGTAGTGCATTTTAATGACATGCATAAACAACCTGTAGGAATAACAGTTCGTTAGAATTCTGGCCATGATTCGCACCTGAAAGCGTGTCCACCAGTGTGATTCTTCCTTTTTTCCTCCTCTTCGTCTTTCATCTCCATCATCGTTTGTGTCCCTCCCTTTACTTACAACAGATTCTCGCTCTTTGGTATTTTCATCTGAACAGTAACAGAAAGTTAGTCATACACTTCAGAAGATCTTAGAGCAGAAGATACTATAGGTAGTATACAAATGCTGCTTGAGAGGATGACTCCTCACCTTCAGCTGATTTGTTGACGCCAGCGCTTTCTTCACTCTTCGGGAAATCCTTTTCAAAACCTAAACCAGTTACACACACAACAAAAGGATTAAGTACAAATGGCTCACATTGACCCTAGAAAGATTAAGTCATTGTGTTCGCTCATTTTGCTACATTACATAGTATAAGAGCATTAAGAGGTACACTACCTCTCGGTGGTTTGTTTGAACTAAGTAATCGAGTGAGTGGGAAACTGTGTTGATATAATCTTCCACATCTCCTTTGGATCAGTGACGTCTTCTGAAATAAAGATACTGTATGATGAATATGTTAGCAGTGAAGGCAGGGCCCTATAAAGACATGTGGAAAACAAAAATACAGCAGAAAGGCATTAATTCAACATGCTATGTGTAATAGATGTTGTTGCACCTCTTCTAAAACGGTAGACAGGAAACATGATGATGAACAGTCCCATGGTATCTGCAGCTGTTATGAATCAGTCATGGAGAATAACTGTCATGTTCATATGAGAAATCTGTCTGTTTTTTTCCAAACAACAGGATTACTGAAATCTCATTATGACCTGTGTCATGTCATGTCAGACACTGAACATTTGCTAGAAAACTCACATGGTGTTAACTTATTTATCTGTCACCTATATTAGAAGCCAATAAGAGTAAATAAAATTACATTCCACCTCAGGCCTGTGTTAGTGAGGCGTTACTACACCTGGCCGACCAGATAACTAACATCCAGACTCCCTGCTCATTGTTCTTGGGGACTTTAACAGAGCAAACCTCAGCCACGAACTCCCAAAAGACAGACAGCATATTAAGTGTCCCACCAGGGACACTAACACACTGGAACATTGCTACATTAAAGGACACCTATCGCTTGATCTTAACATACAGGCAGCAACTGAAATCTGTTAAACCTGTTGTACAGACTGTGAAAAGATGGAACAACGAGTCAAAGATGGAGTTACAGGCCTGCTTTGACTGCAGTGACTGGAGTGTTTTTGAGGCTGCAGCCACTGACCTGGATGAACTAACTGACACCGTGACATCTTACATCAGTTTTTGTGAGGACATGTGTGTGTAGACTAAAACCTACAACCAAAAACCCTGGTTCACAGCGAAACTCAGGCAACTTCGTCAGGCCAATCAGAAGTCGGAACAGAGTCCAGTACAACCAGGCCAGGAACACTCTGACTAACGAGGTCAAAGCAGCAAAGAGATGCTACACTGAAAAGCTAGATAACAGCTTTGCAGCCAACGACCCTGCGTCAGTGTGGAGAGGCCAACTACTGGACACCATCCCCCAACACTGCTGGTACTCAACAACTGGCAGACGAGCTGAATGGCTTTTATTGCAGGCTTGAAAAGCCCACAGTCACACCTCTCCCCCGCTCCAACACCATCTTCAAACAGTCACCTTCCCCCTCTGACACACTGCCAACCTCCTCTCTGACCCCTCACCTGCACTCAAGATCTGTGAAGAGGACGTGAGCCACCTCTTCCAAAGGCAGAAGATCAGGAAGGCTCCTGGCCCCGACAGTGTGTCTCCATCCTGCCTGAAAATGATGGCCCCCGTCTTCACACAGATCTTCAACAGATCACTGGAGCTGTCCTTGCATATGTCCCTGGACAGATCTTCACACAGATCTTCAACAGATCACTTGAGCTGTGTGAAGTTCCCTTCTGCTTCAAATGCTCCACAAATGACTACAGGCTTGTCGCTCTGACATCTGTGGTCATGAAGTCCACTGAAAGACTGGTGTTGGCCCACCTGAAGGACATTACAGACCCCTTGCTGGAGCCCCTGCAGTTTGCCTACAGCGCTAACAGGTCAGTGGATGATGCAGTCAACTTGGGACTGCATTACATCCTGCAACACCTCGACTCTCCAGGGACATATGCAAGGATCCTGTTCGTGGACTTCAGCTTGGCGTTCAACATCATCATCCCGGACATCCTCAGCACCAAACTCACCCAGCTCACTGTGCCAGCCTCCACCTGTCAGTGGATCACAAACTTACTGACTGACAGAAGTCAGCAGGTGAGACTGGGGAACATCACATCCAGCACCAGGACTATTAGCACTGGTGCCCCCCAGGGGTGTGTGCTCTCCCCACTGCTCTTCTCCCTCTACACCAACGACTGCACCTCCGGAGACCCATCTGTCCAACTCCTGAAGTTTGATGACGACACAACGGTCATCGGCCTCATGTGGGACGGTGACGAGTCGGCCTAAAGACGGGAGGTTGATCAGCTGGCTCTCTGGTGCGGCCAGAACAACAACCTGGAGCTTAACACGCTCAAAACTGTGGAGATGATCATGGACTTCAGGAGGAGCAACCCAACTATGTCCCTCATCACCATACTCAACAGCCCTGTGTCTGCTGTGGAATCCTTCAGGTTTCTGGAATCGACTATATCCCAGGACCTGAAGTAGGAACCCAACTCGGACACCATCATCAAGAAAGCCCAGCAGAGGATGTACTTCCTGCGCCAGCTCAAGAAGATCAACCTGCCTAAGGAGCTGCTGATCCACTTTTACACACCTATCATCCAGTCTGTCCTCTGCACGTCCATCACGGTCTGGTTTGGATCTGCCACCAAAAAGGACAGGAGCGGACTACAAGAGACAGTCAGGACTGCAGAAAAGATCATCGGTGCCAAGCTGCCCTCCATTCAGGACTTATACATTTCCAGAGGCAGGAAACAGGCAGGAAACTGCAGATCCATCTCACCCTGGACACAATCTGTTCCAGCTTCTCCCCTCTGGTAGGCGCTGTACGCCAAAACCAACAGACTTAGGAACAGTTTCTTGCCACAAGCCATCACTCTGATGAACAGCTGATTTCTGACTCACGGTGTTAGGAACAATTCTTGTGCAATAACCCAGTAACTCTGCCTCTAATCAGCCACCTGTTTACTAGCAAGCTTTATTATTTATTCACCATTCTCTATTTCAGTGCTGTTCATACTGTTATATTGTCATATTATAGACTAATCCACCTACCTCAAGTCATTACTCCTGCACAAATTACTTATACTTATTTATTCCAGCATCCTTTGCACTATGCTTCATTGCACTGTGTACATGCGTACATGTATGCACGTATATGTACCTCTATATCACATCCACCTCCGACATGTACATACTCCTGCATCTATTGCACTCTGCTCACTGCACTATTTATCAATATGTCTATATTGTTTTTATTCATAGTGTGTATATTTGTGTTGTCTACACTGAAGTCTGTCTGATTTTATTTTATTTTTTTAGGGTTCATACCGCGTAGCGGTAGAACCCTATTGTTTTTGTGTGTTTTAGTTATTATTATTTGTTGTCTGCTGCGCCGGCTCAAATTCCCGTGAGCTGGAATGAGCTAGAAACATGAAACTTGGGGGAATAACTGGAAATGGTGTGCATCAGCTTCCATAGAAATATGAACTCAATCGGCCACATGGTGGCACTATAATTAAGGCTTAAAAAGGCAAACTTTGAAAGGACACGCCCCTTACGCTGTAAGTCCGATTGACTTGAAAACGAATTTTTCAAACAGGTCCAGCTCAATGTGCTCTACAAAAAAGCCTCAAGGACTATTAAGGTCCGCCTAGAGTTTTTTTCCGCCATTTTGAATTTTTTGAAAATCACATTTTTGACATCTCCTCCTAGACCGTAGCTCCGATTGTTGTCCAGTTGTTACAAAACTTGCAGGATGTGTTTAATAACAATGTTGAACCGTATGTGTGAAATAATATTGATGGCGATATTGGGGAAAAATCGCGAATCGCCGCTTGCGGCTATATTTATTATTGTGATTTTGTATTTTTGTATGAGTAAGCACATCATGAGCAATGTACAATCCAGAGGGAAATTCCTTGTATGTGTACATTTACCTGGCAATAAAGCTGATTCTGATTCAACAGTACATTATATTTTTAAATTTAACTATGAATAAAAACATATAATTTAATTGAAAAAACATGAAGTAAAACAAAGACATTAAAATATAGGCAATAAATCTTTTCAATTTCAATTTGCCCATACCTGCTCACACAGACACCAATACCAACATATCTGTAATAACCCAATATTGACTGCTAATATCAGCCTGTATCTGTTGGGCTGTACTGACCATGCAGTCCATCAGAAAGAAAAAAAAATCCTACAAGAATTACAGGAATATTTACAAGGAATAAACAACTATACTATTATTTTATTTCAAAGGAACAAGTGTCATCCTCCAATAGAAAAATATCCCTCATGTGACATCAACAGTCAATCTCAAATACATTTTTATTAAGAAAACATGGTTTGGAACTCATGATCAATGTTGAAGTGCAGCTCTTTATCTGGTAGGCCTAATGACCGGGCAAAATATCACAGATAAGATACCCCTTCCCAGTCAGAGAACCTCCATTATGTCAATGAGAAATTCAAACTCCAATTCAAAAAGTTCACTACTTCTAGATTCCAACTCTCACATTTTTTTAATAAAAAGTATTTCAATAACTTGAACCATGTAACATTTGCTGAACCTATTATTAAAAAAGTAAAACTGAATAAATGAATAAGAATTTACAACACTGACCGAGAAACGCCCCCCTCAAACAAAACATTCTGAAACTGAGGAAACCAACTTCAAACGGAAATATCGTGAGAGAAAAGCAACTTAGGAATGATGACATATAAACAGTGCAGCAGTTTGTTTGTTTAGAGGTTTTAGGGGGCTGCTGGCTATAACGGAGGAACAGTGTGTTCTTTCCCACGACAGACCTGGAATAGCTTACAGTCACACAGGGCTCCAGCTCTTGCAACACACTGTTATCCGACGCATCTGCAAGTAGCTGTTGTAAAAGAACACATTTGCATGCAACTATTCTGAGAGAACTGTAGCGGGCTTGCATAATAAAGAAGAACATAAACAATGTCACCTTACCACCGCGAGCGCGCAACTGTAGCGGAAAGTTGCTGAAATTTTGGATAAATCTCGACTCCACATCCGAACCCGGTTCCGAAAGTGCCCGACACTCACAGAGAGCAGCCCCATGGTGTCAGTTACTTTTGTCTCCGCTTCATCGGACTGGTATCCGAGTCATCAACAAGTGAAGTGCCCCTGATATCAACAAAGACCCAATGTCTCGCGAGATTTCGATTACAAAAGCACAGTGTGGGGGCAACTTGGGGCTGTCTGGGATGTGTTACGCCGAGAATTGGACGCTCCTCCAAATACTCCTTTTAAAGCTATAATATATCCTTTGTGGGGATCATCAATGGTGATAAATGATTCGAAGTATATATTTTATGAACGTTTAGAGTAGTTAATATTGTATTACACTTAGCAGAAGAAGCATTCCTTGACATTCAGCGTAAATATGCGGCGATAACTGCGTTTCATTAATGTGCACAGCAAAGTGTCTGAAAAGCACCTTATTGATAGGCGGATGCATAATTCGGCAGAATAGATGTTAAAGGCTACCTGCCAAGATTTGCATTCACCCCTTTTCTTAGCATAAATGAGCCTTACCACCCGCGAGGAAAGCTAAATCATTTACATTTTTTTTTCTTGGGGGAAAGAATCGCTTTTGCATGTCCGGTCAATCACTGGCGATCTTCTGCAGATTATAATACAGTATGTAGTCTATGTCCACTTTGTCCAGACATCCAGCATGCATTGTGTCCGTTTTATATACAGTCTATGATTGTGTCCAAGAGCGACTGATTATGTGGCTGCTTGTCAGAAACGTTGCACCTTCCCGAGGAAAATAATTCCTCTATGGGGTTTGTAGTATCCAATATTTATGCATTTGACTCATAACAGTTCAAAATAGCACTGTAGCAGCAAGACAGAGGGTCAGTCACCTTCTACGGGGAGAGTAGTGATTGGTGGTTTCCTCTCAACACATCATCGCAGCATTATTGTTCGGGCACCACAAGTTGAGGAATGGAGAAGGTGGAAGGAAAACTGACACCATCCTGGGACGGATTGTCAACCTCTGTTACTGGAGGAGAACGGGGAGACGACACATTAAATGTCCCATTAAAACAACAGGCCCTCAGTGTTTATGATTGTTTTTTAGATGTAGCAGAATCAAAGCGCAGGCTAATTTACATTGAATTTTGTGTCAAGCTATTTAAAGTGACACACAGTTTATGGTCTACACTGTCTTCTGTTGTGCTGACTGTGTGAAGACTTTTGAAAAAGTGAACTCAGTATTAGTGAACACTGTGAGTTACAAATGATTAAAAAAAAAACTGAAACATAAAGAATATGTTGGCTATAGGCTAATGCATAGCCTGGGGATTTATGTCCAAAAAAGACATGACATTTTTTGTAGCTTGTTTTTTGTTTGTTTTTTTGAAGAGCCAACTGTAGACCATATTCTGTAGGCCTACTCATGCAGCAGTATGAGAACAAATGAATTCCTATCATATAATTTGTATTTTGAATTCTAACATAACATAATGATTGGATTTGAATTTCAGGAAAGTAAGTATATTTACTTCCTACTTGTACTTTATTTGAGTAGCTCTATTTTCTGCTACTTCATACTTATACTGCACTATCAGGAAGCAACATTTTTTATAACCAATTCATTGTTTTGAATAATTTCATATGAATATATGGCAAAATTCTCTTGCTCCAGCTCCTCATATGTGAATATTTAATGGTTTCCTTCAACTTCTGAATCTCTCTCTTGAGGTCATGCCACAGCATCTCAGTCGGGTTGAGGTCAGGACTCTGACGGCGCCACTCGATAAGGTGTATTTTCTTCTGCTGAAGCCATTCTGTTGTTGATTTACTTCTCCTGCAAAATTTCGTGATAAATGTTGGAATACCTTTTGATAGCAACCCTTCCAGGCCCTGAGGCAACAAAGCAGTCCCAAATCATGATTTCCCCTCCACCATACCTCACAGTTGGGATGAGGTTTTGGTGTTGGTGTGCTGTGCCTTTTTTCCTCCACACATTGGGTTGTGTGTTCCTTCCAAACAACTCAAATTTGGTTTCATCTGTCCACAGAATATTTTGCCAGTAGTGCTGTGGAACATCCAGGTGCTCTTCTGCAAACTTCAGACGTGCAGCAATGTTTTTTTGGACAGCAGTGGCTTCTTCTGTGGTGTCCTCCCATGAACTCCATTCTTGTTAGTCTTCAGCTGACACGCCTTCTTAACCTCATTGAGCATTCTGCTTTGTGCTCATGCAGTCATCTTTGCAGGACAGCCACTCCTAGGGAGAGTAGCAGCGCTGAACTCCATTTATAGACAGTCTGCCTAGGTCTTCTGAGAGCGCTTTTGGTCGAGGCATGGTTCACATCTGGCAATGCTTCATGGGAATAGCAAAATTAAAATTTAATTTTCTCTAAATTTTTTTTAGAGGGCAGGGCAGCTCTAACCAACACCTCCAATCTCATCTCATTGATTGGTCAGGTTGGCTGACTTTCAATTAGCTTTTGGAGAAGTCATTAGAGTAGGGGTTCAAATACCACCCTGCGCTGTGACTATTTACTCTGTGTTCAATAAAAACATATAATTGTTTGTGTGGTATTAGTTTAAGCAGACTGTGTTTGTCCATTGTTGTGACGTAGATGAAGATCAGATCACATTTTATAACTAATTTATGCAGAAATCCAGGTAATTCAAAAGGGTTCACACACTTTTTCCTGCGACTATATATTACAGTATATATACACATCTAATTTTGTAGAATATATATATATATATATATATATATATATATATATATATATACACACCTACAGCCAGATTTACTAACGTCCCGAAGGATTGTTAATTTCCTCGTGATATCAAGTTTGCACACGTTTTTGCTCACACAAATCTTTAGTAAATATGAGAATATTTATATTCTCATATGTTTACAAATATTACAGCTGCAAACAAACTTTTAACAGCATCACAAACCATTCAAAAAGACTTAGTATTAGCTTGTCAATCAGAGAGTAATAGCATGGGCCAATCTTGCACTTTGAGGGTGCTTTTGCTGACAGCAGAGCAAAATCAGATATTTATTTTTATCATAACTTTTTTTTACATTGGGGCTGTAATAATTCAACCCTGAATAGGTTAAAGTTTAACTTTACTTGATCACAACGCGGCAATGTTAATGCATTTCATTACTTTATTCATGCACTACTTCATGTTTTACAACAGGGCATTGCTTTTCACCAACACCATGTCTGTTCATTAGTTTGAAAAAAACCAAAACAAATACAGTTCATCATGCTGAAAGATAACACAGCCAAAACTCATTATTTTAAAACAAATATTTTAGGTCAACATTTACACATTATCAAAGGTGTCACTTAACATCTTTGTCATCTCTGGACAAAATGTGCTATATGTAATTAAGACTGAAACCATTAACATGATGGTAAGTGTATTAAGATGTTTGGATAACAGCTTTATGCAACCTGTAGGCACAATGTTTATGAATATTCACATCTATTTGCTACACACTGCACTAAAGTGAACCAGATTAAAACACAGACTGTCTACAATGACATCATGGTTTTGAATGAAAGGAAAACTCCCACAATCCTTTTCTTTTTCAGTTAAACTATTCTCCTTACGAGAAAATGTTGCATGCTTTGATTAGAGATCTGTTGCCAATATATGCATGTATAATTCAAAGTACTGATTTAATGATTGTATATACACACTCTTACTTGTCAAAACTATTTCAAGCCATATAATTGTTTCCAGTATCCAGGGTGGCTAATTGACAATTTACAAAATCAAAGCAGGCCTACACTGTAACCTGAAAAGAAACATTGTTATAAGGCCTGGCAATATTTTTTCTTGGTATGGTATGCAATGTAAAACAGATCAAACGATTATGAGTCTGAAAGGAAAATAGGCACAAATGGAGGAGTATAGACTGCTTTAAGGACAATACTTCTGAGATAAAGAGTTTTATAACAGCAGATTTAATAAATTTCATATTGTAAAATAATTAAACACTATGCATCATATGACCTAATAAACAGATGTTTGGAAATGATATCTCAGTGCAAGGTCACCCACTTCACTTTCAAGCATGTTTACAGGATTTTGTTTCTAAAATGAAAACATCCACTGGGACGTGAAAGGTGAATTTCTGGTTAACATGATTTTGTCTTTGCAAACTGGAGATGTAATCCTTAAAATTCAATAACATTTTTAGATATGGCAACCTTAAACCTTTAGTATTCAGCAAAGTTGGCAGTATATGTTCACTCAGTCGAGCCTCGTAACACTTAATATACAACTCCCGCATCCATAATCACCTACTGATGAGGTGGCTTTTCACTATAGGGCATTTATTTTGTACATTTATACAAGCAGACATATGCACTAATGCAACTCACTCACTCACACAAACAAACATACACAGTGTTCAGTACATCCAATTTCAGTATGGATTAAAAAGTTGGATAAAAAATATACATATATATTAATTTCGAGATTGTGTTTAGTACCCTGCTTCCTTATGAAGTGCGCAGGAAAATAAAGACACTACAGTTCTAAACATATGCACAAAACAAACCAAGGACAAAGACGAAAAGCTTCCATAAGACTTTCTTGATCGATTAGAGCACAATATGAGGCGAAGTGCAACATCCAGTAGCTTCAGGTAGTCCTCTCCGGAATCATGCATCTTTGACGTCTGACTCCTCTTCCTGCTTGCGATCAGTCATTCGGGCACACCGTGGACAAGTTGTGGAATTGTCATAGTAACAATCTCTAACGAGACACATAAGAAACATTTTTTGTTACATAATCCATCATATTGATGGCGTACATTTGAATAACGTGTTGTTTATTTTAATAGACAGATCACTGTTTGGGCAAATGTACTGGTTTTGCTATTTGCTATATAGTATGTTTAGTGGGACAAACTCAACACTGCCTTTCTTATTTCTGTGTATACAGCTTGAAGATATGCTACCTGGTGATTTTAGATTAGATTAACCCAAAAAAGATGTCTTAGCTCCACTCAAAAGTAGGGAAAAACACCTTTATTAGTGCAAAACCAGTACACTTAAAGTGATACCAATACCAATTGAGTACTTCATTTGATACCTTGCATAAAATGCCACCTGTTGAAGCCATAGTAGTTGATTGGTAGCCTATTATTATTTTTATTGTTGTTTAGGACAAGCAATTTTTCCATTTTATTTTTTCTTGTTTCAAACAACTGATCACTCCTCATCCTAATTAGGTCATCCGCACCGGTAGTATTAGCCTTTGAGGAGGTTTTTTATATTTGAATGAGAGAGGAGTGTAATAGTTTAGTGACCAGGTAAGTTGTGGGAAACCAATTTAAGGTATTCCATTGATACATGTGTTAAAAGTAAACAACAGAAAATTATTTTGCTAACTTTCGATCAATAAACTGAATTGAAAGATCTCGCCGAGAGCCTTTTCCTTTATTGGTGAGTCGCAAACGTCCTCTAAAAAATAAGTCACTTAACTACACTAAAGACTCACAAACAGAGGAAAAGAGAGGCTGCAGTGCACGTCCAGCCGATCAAACCAACTACTCCTGAAGCAGCCGCAGCTCACGGACCCTCCGTGAGTAAAATCAGCTGATCGCTGCTACGCCACAAAAGCGTTTAATCGATGTGATGGAACGCAGTGATCGATCAGTGTCAAGTGATGTGAATAGGAAATAAAAATGTACAGAGAAGTGTTAAATGATACCAGAAGATGCAACCCATGGAAAGCCAAGTTTGTGGTGGTAAACTTGCAACAATGACAAACATGCCTGAGACTGCAGCCAAAGGTGAGCGGCACACATGGACTCGGCGTGTGCATGCCTTTTTTTTAATACACTTTATGGTGCAGGCACATAAGAAAAAAAGGCGTGCTTTTCTCTTTCTTTCGGTGTGTTGTTTGCATGTTTGGCTGCAAGTAAAACCATACAAATCCTAATTTTTTGCGGCAATCTGGTTACAAAAAGTAGCGATTGAAGTACTGGTTTGACTGGAGACGTTTCGATTCTACTCGATACTGGGCTGTTTCAGTCGATAGCATAAAGGTATCGAGTAACGATACCCATCCCTAGCGCTAAGGCTTTAATATTTCGTACCAAAATGCAAAATCTTCACAAGTAAATTTCAAACTCCTTAGAATCACATAATTTGCAATATTTTTCAGTGTGACTGGTTGGCGGTGACTTACCTGTGGAAGACAGCAGAACACTCGTTGCAGACCGAGGTGTGACTGTCAAAAGGGAACAGGATGTCTCCTTCCTTACACAGCTCACACACAAATCCTTTGGCCTGACAACGCTACACATAAACACACACACAGCACAGACAAAATGGGACAGAAAGTCAGGGTTTCAGGATGATTATGTTTTCTACTCCTTTAGCAAATAATAAAAAAAAAAAACAAGTGATCATCAACAAATGCCTACTGACTAATAGTGGATACTACAAGATTAAGCTATGTGTCTAACAAAGAAGTCATTAGTATGTCTTCTTTGCACTTTATGATTGAGCTCACCTCACAGTCTAGTTTGATGTGCTTAGCAAACGTAGTGTGGATCTCTGTGAGGGAACAGCTGAGCCTGCCACTGGAGATGTCAATCAAATCTTGTAGTGAGTACATGTCATCGTTCTCCACAAAGTGCTGCCGATCTTGTAACTGCAGAACACAAATACAAAAGAAAACAATTTGCGAAAATCTGTTTTGGGAAATGTATGCAACCTGCATGCCATGAGACCGAACCTTGCTCAGGGACAATCCATTTCATGAGATCACAGAAGGCAACAAACATTACAAAATATGGACAAAAACTGTTTTTTAAAAACTTTTGTGAACATATACAGTATCTCACAAAAGTGAGTACACCTCTCATTTTTCATATTATTATATATTATTTTTAATATATACAGTGGGTACGGAAAGTATTCAGACCCCTTTAGATTTTTCACTCTTTGTTTCATTGCAGCCATTTTCCAAAAATCAAAAAACTTCATTTTATTTCTCAGTAATACACTCAGCACCCCATCTTGACAGAAAAAAACAGAAATGTAGAAATTTTTGCAAATTTATTAAAAAAGAAAAACTGAAATATCACATGGTCATAAGTATTCAGACCCTTTGCTCAGTATTTAGTAGAAGCACCCTTTTGATCTAATACAGCCATGAGTCGTTTTGGGAAAGATGCAACAAGTTTTTCACATCTGGATTTGGGTATCCTCTGCCATTCCTCCTTGCAGATCCTCTCCAGTTCTGTCAGGTTGGATGGTAAACGTTGGTGGACAGCCATTTTCAGGTCTCTCCAGAGATGCTCAATTGGGTTTAAGTCAGGGCTCTGGCTGGGCCATTCAAGAACAGCCACGGAGTTGTTGTGAAGCCACTCCTTCGTTATTTTAGCGGTGTGCTTAGGGTCATTGTCTTGTTGGAAGGTAAACCTTCGGCCCAGTCTGAGGTCCAGAGCACTCTGGAAAAGGTTTTCGTCCAGGATATCCCTGTACTTGGCTGCATTCATCTTTCCCTCGATTGCAACCAGTCGTCCTGTCCCTGCAGCTGAAAAACACCCCCACAGCATGATGCTGCCACCACCATGCTTCACTGTTGAGACTGTATTGGACAGGTGATGAGCAGTGCCTGGTTTTCTCCACACATACCGCTTAGAATTAACGCCAAAAAGTTCTATCTTGGTCTCATCAGACCAGAGGATCTTATTTATCACCATCTTGGAGTCCTTCAGGTGTTTTTTAGCAAACTCCATGCGGCTTTCATGTGTCTTGCACTGAGGAGAGGCTTCCGTCGGGCCCCTGCCATAAAGCCCCGACTGGTGGATTGCTGCAGTGATGGTTGACTTACTACAACTTTCTCCCATCTCCCGACTGCATCTCTGGAGCTCAGCCACAGTGACCTTTGGGTTCTTCTTTACCTCTCTCACCAAGGCTCTTCTCCCCCGATAGCTCAGTTTGGCCGGACGGCCAGCTCTAGGAAGGGTTCTGGTCGTCCCAAACGTCTTCCATTTGAGGATTATGGAGGCCACTGTGCTCTTAGGAACCTTAAGTGCAGCAGAAATTTTTTTGTAACCTTGGCCAGATCCGTGCCTTGCCACAATTCTGTCTCTGAGCTCTTCAGGCAGTTCCTTTGACCTCATGATTCTCATTTGCTCTGACATGCACTGTGAGCTGTAAGGTCTTATATAGACAGGTGTGTGGCTTTCCTAATCAGGTCCAATCAGTATAATCAAACACAGCTGGACTCAAATGAAGGTGTAGAACCATCTCAAGGATGATCAGAAGAAACAGACAGCACCTGAGTTAAATATGAGTGTCACGGCAAAGGGTCTGAATACTTATGACCATGTGATATTTCAGTATTTCTTTTTTAATAAATTTGCAAAAATTTCTACATTTCTGTTTTTTTCTGTCAAGATGGGGTGCTGAGTGTACATTACTGAGAAATAAAATGAAGTTTTTTGATTTTTGGAAAATGGCTGCAATGAAACAAAGAGTGAAAAATTTAAAGGGGTCTGAATACTTTCCGTACCCACTGTATGTTCATGTGACAACACTGAAGAAATTATACTTTGCAAGTTGCATGACACCAGGGAGGGCTAATTGGGCCCAATTTCGACATTTTCACATAGGAGTATACTCAGTTTTGTTGCGAGCAGTTTAGACATTAATGGCTGTGTGATGTGTTATTTTGAGGGACAGCAAATTTACACTGTTATACAAGCTGTACACTTAGTACTTTACATTTTAGCAAAGTGTTATTTCTTCACCGCGACCCTGTATGCAGGATAAGCGGTTGACGATGGATGGATGGATGGTTATTTCTTCAGTGTTGTCACATGAAAAGATATAATCAGATATTTACAAAAATGTGAGGGGTGTACTCACTTTTGTGAGATACTGTATTACATATACTTTTTGACTGTGCACAAATATCAATGCACACTATACAAGCCTATAGGGGACTACCGGTATGTTATAATAACGTAAACTTGAAAATATCATTCCTCAAAAGTGTTATAACTTTCCACATGTGTATATTTTATTATTGCATAAATTACACTCAAGTGGAGTGTCTATGAACATATAAAAATGAAAATGGAAAAGCTGTTTGAAATTTAATTAGTTACCCCGCTGTACAGTGGACAAACTGAATAACACAGACATACACTCACCGGCCACTTTAGTAGGTACACCTGTTCAATTGCTTGTTAACACAAATAGTTAATCAGCCAATCACATGGCAGCAACTCAATGCATTTAGGCATTTAGACGTGGTCAATACAACTTGCTGAAGTTCAAACCGAGCATCAGAATGGGGAAGAAATTTCAGAAACTGCTGGTCTACTGGGATTTTAACACACAACCATCTCTAGGGTTCACAGAGAATGGTCCGAAAAACAGAAATTATCCAGAGAGCGGCAGCTGTGTGGACGAAAATGCCTTGTTGATGTCAGAGGACAGAGGAGAATGGGCAGATGACAGAAAGGCAACAATAACTCAAATAACCGCTCGTTACAACTGAGCAGTGTTGGGCAGGTTACTCAGACTTTGCAATTACTAAGTTACTCATTACTTATTACTCTTTTAAAGGATTAGTGTGTAAGATTTAGTGGCATCTAGTGGTGAAACGTGATTCCCCTAAATGTTCTCTGCCTGGATATACTAGGGAAATGATAAAGCATCCATAGGCTGATAGATGTGGATCAAACACCGAAGCACAAACACTGCAGCACATTTTGTACTGAGAGAAGCAGTCGCTGCAGAATCCATTTGTTGAGAGAAAAAAAGAATTGTCCCAAGGTGAACTCACAACCCTTAGGGTGTGAGACCTGCACTTTACTGACTGAGCTAACCGAACGGCATGTTGGTAGAAGTCAATATTATGTCTTATATTCTTACCCACCATCTAATGGTTGAAAATATTGCTCTGATGCCAAACTTATTTGCCGACCCCTGCTATATATTGTTACTACTTCTTCTTCTTCTAACATATGTATACAACGTAGCGATGAATGTTTACACTGCCTGAATTCTACCAGAAGTAGAAGAAGAAGAACTTAGTGATGAAAGGCGCTCTGTAGTTCTGTTTGTCTGTCTGTTACACTGTTACACCCATATTTCTACTGTAGAAATATGATGATGCAACGTGGCGACGTCCGCGGTTATGTAGATATAAATAGCTCATTCCAAGGTAATAAAGACGGTTTATTATATAAGGTCTTTCTACACAACTAAAAACATAGTTATGTATCTTATATAGCATTTCTTTCAGTAAATCCTCAGAAATATTACACAGTAATTAAAAAGTAATAATATATTACTTTACTTATTTTGTTATTACACCCGCGACCCTGTACGCAGGATAAGCGGTTGACGATGGATGGATGGATTTTATTATTACAAATATGCAGCAACTGTGTGATGCTATCATGTCATATGGACCAAAGTCTCTGAGGAATGTTAAACACCTTGTTGAAAGTATGCCACAAAGAATGAAGGCACTTCTTAACTTTTTAATTTTCAAGTTTACGTTATCATTTTTATATACTAATTATAAAAAGAATTTCAGCTGAACTTGCACCAATAATAGCAAAGTCTTAAGTCTATATTAGTGTCTCAAGTCCACATCAGGAACGTTTCCAGATGCCTAAACTTTCAACTTCCACACACATGGTGGTGCTGTTGTAACATATTACTTATTGCTTTAACTGCACGAAGCAAAGTCAATTTAATTTGTGTTGAATAGATATTATGCATAGATGCTGACCTGTAGTAATAGCCGAGCCTCCATGGCCTCCTTACAGGTAATAAAATAGGGTTTCATCAACAGAATATCTTGACGGAGTTTCTGTAAAGGAAAACACACACAAACACACACATTGCTCCTAGTCAAACATAATGCACAGAGTGGCAGTTGATTTTCCATCTCACTGCACATGCTAGCAGCACTCCATATCAAAATTGTTTGATTTTCTGCATAATAGCACCTGATTCAAAATATAGTGACAAAGCGCTAGGATGGTCGGGTGACAAATCAAATGGAACAGCAACTATAATGAAGGTGTTGTGGTTAAATCATTTTATAAGGGATTCCAGGTTAAAACTGAGAACATAGCATTCAACGATAATTACAGAACTGTATTTCGTTTTAACTACATTGGGAACATCTTTACTTCAGTTTCTTGTTGGATCTTTACTTGTACGTCCAAAAAAGTGAAGCTACCCACCCTGATCTCAACCAGTTCCTCCACAAAGTTGAATAGCAGCGGGTTGATTTCTTTCAGCTTCAGGACAGGTCGTGGCAGCATCAGGGCCAGGTAGCGTAATGAGGAGCGACAAACCTGAAAAAGAGGCACACTGTCAGAACACAGACTGACTGAATATGCCCACATGAACACGCTAATACCCCTTTCATACCAACACAGTGACGTGGGTTAAACCTGCATTGGTAGACAGCCTGAATAGGTCAATGCGCATCATCTGACCTGGATTCCCAACCCTCCTCCTGACCTGGGTGGAAGTGGGTCAGATGCTGACTGGCTTTCATAAACAGGCATTTCTATTAGAGATGGGAATGTAATTTAATGTTATTGATGTTTTAACGACATTAAGCTGATTCCCCTTAAGACATTTTCTTAGACTCGACAAAAGGTCCTTCACAGGCTGTGCAGCACTCCTCGTGACTAGTAAATTGACTTTGACTGTTTGTCCGTAATATAATTCTATGAAATTCTGATGTTTCGCAGTAACATATATAAGAGTACAGTTCCCGATCTGAGTCTCTTCCAACAGAGACAAAGAGAGAAAAACATACAGTCTGACAGCAGTTTCATCCAGTAACTCAGATGCTGCTTTAACACGTGTAAAGAAAACACACATCATACACTCCTGTTTCAAAGGGGTATAAGAAGTCTAATAGTGTGAAATATAAAAGATGAAGGGATACATGTTGAGAGGGTACCTTGCGTGGTTCAAACTCCCAGTTGTGGATGACGCGAGCTGGGACGATGGTGGTGTCATTCCAGTGGCATGTGCTGCAGTAATATTGGCCTGTGTAGTCACACTGTCTGGCTTCACTTGGCACGCCCCCTATAAGACAGATGGCACAGTGCAGTCAAACTATGAATCAAAAGAAAGCAAGATCTACATAAAAACATTATAAACACAATTAAATATGTAGAATTTAGATATGTTGGGCGGCGCGGTGGTACAGTGGTTAGCACTGTCGCCTCACAGCAAGAAGGTCGGGGGTTCAAACCCCAGTTGCCCCGGCCTTTCTGTGCGGAGTTTGCATGTCCTCCCCGTGTCCGCATGGGTTGTCTCCGGGAGCTCCGGCTTCCTCCCACCATCCAAAGACATGCAGACTAGGTTAATTGGTGTCTATAAATTGCCCTCAGGTATGAATGTGAGTGTGAGTGGTTGTCTGTCTATGTGTGGCCCTGCGATGGACTGGCGACCTGTCCAGGGTGTACCCCGCCTTTCGCCCAATGTCAGCTGGGATAGGCTCCAGCCCCCCGTGACCCTGTACACAGGATAAGCGGTTGACGATGGATGGAATTTAGATATGTATGAGAGAATAAAGATCTCCAGAAAATGATGTTCCATATCAAATATAAGCATACTCAATGTTTGTAGCTCAGTCATTCCTAGATGGCTGTAAAGTAACCTTATTTACAACTGTGTGCACATGCCCGTCAAGCAAATGTAAGTTCAAATCAGCCTACATATTGCCTTTAGATCCTCTGTTTTCCATACATCAACATGCAAGACATAAACCAACACAGTAAATTTGTACGCACTCAGTGAAATAGGTGTTCGACATTCCGCACAACGGTAGTCTTGCCGGTCTAGTCCTATCTCAGGGCAGATGCTGAGCTCATACTCGGACTGGTGGCTGACCTTCGACCTGACGCAGGGCTTTGTGATCATGTTCATACACTTACTATGGCATCGATAATAGCAACCTGAAACAAGAAAGGGATGATCACATGGCATGAATCTTTAATGTATAAAAGCATTATCACTACAGGCAATGGGTTTGGGCTGGTTAACAGATTCAAAGGGCTGTACAAAGATGCTCCCACTGAGCCCACCATTCAGAAAAACAGTATGCATGGGGAGCTTTGAGAGAACAAGCGAGACAGTAGGACTGAAGATTAATCTTTGAGAAAGTAGAATATTGTGAGCCTGTGCATGAAACACAAAAAATGATATTCAGATAGAGCTGGTATGATCTTACACAGAGGTCTGACTTTTTAACAAACTTTTGTTTTTAAGTTTTGCAACTAAAATATCTCTATAGTGCTGTATCTGATTGATACACTGTATGGTGTGTCTCACCTGTGCAGGTATACCAAGTCTGGATAAGGCCCCAGATGATAGTGCTACACTTGTCACAGGTCTGTTTCACACTCTTGCTCTTTTCCTTGGAAAAGCGGTGCTCCAGTAGGACTCTCAGATTAGGCTCATCCTCCTCGGGGTCCTTTAAAGGGACAAAATACCAAAACATTCAACAAATAAAATATGCAGTATTTGTACTTGTTTATGTTGCCGTATTTTCATAGTGCTTCTGTTCTCGCTGTATGATCCTGATCCTTTGAAGCGATGTCTATTCTCTAGATAGAACTTGCATAAGATGGCACTTCAACATTCAGCTGCTTTATTATATAACATAAAGTGCTCTGCCCTGTGGTATAAAGCATTGCACATGACATTCAGCTGCTTCATGTGATATCGTTAAAAAAAAAAAAACTCAGTAAAAACAAATGCACAGAAAATCACTAACATTCTCTTTTCTATAAAACGCATTTAAGTCCCAATTGAACTCTTAAGTAATTGACCGATTAACTGATTTGTTGATGTGAGTGTTCCGCAAGAAACTAGACTGTAAGTAATACTGTCCTTTTGGTAATTTAAAGAAAATCTCAAGAAACAGAAAATGTGCGATTTCAAAAATGAGGAGTTTTTAGCAGAAAGTTGCTGATCTCCACAAACTTGTTTATCACCTCATCAGTCTCCAAGAAAGTCTACAATGCTTGCTCTCATTTATCTTATAAAGCGCAACGTGATCAAATGAAAGCTGAAGAAAGCCTTTATTTGATGTGTCGTTAGCACACAGTGGGCTCAGCGGAATTTCTTGTGTTCTTCCCAGTTACCTCTGACACTCCATGTGTAAGCATCACTTCTCAGTAGGGCTGGGCAATAAAACAATAATGATAATTATCGCAATGTAATTTTCCTCAATAACAATATAACAAATGTTCAACATATCGTCAATAAAGTTTGATTTAATTAATCTGAATCATGAATGAATTAGGGACTTCATGTTTCAATTAAGATATTTATTTTGTTGAGGAAAAGGGACTGTAACAAGATTTACTTAGCATATTTTTTTTAAATAAGATTTGATCATAATTGTTTTGAATGTTCTGCGATGGACTGGCGACCTGTCCAGGGTGTACCCCACCTTTCGCCCGATGTCAGCTGGGATTGGCTCCAGCCCCTGCGACCCTGTATGCAGGATAAGCGGTTGACAATGGATGGATGGATGGATGTTTTGAATGTACTACCTCAGAAGTGTTCCACTGTTTGACATCAAGTGTTTGTTGACCATAAAGAAAAGTTTAAAACCACAATAAACCATCTGGTTTCTTGAATTTTCAGTCAGGAGCAAAAATCAACCTTTAAACTTGAAAGAAATATGATTTGACATTTATTGTGATATTTATTGTTATTGAATGATAAAAAGATTTTTTATTGTGATAACATTTTTGGCCATATCGCCCAGCCCTACTTCTCAGCTACAGGCCATCTACAATATAATTTAAAGGCCCCAGCTATTATAACTATTGCACCCATTAGGTTATGATTAACCCTTAAAATCTATTATTTCTAAATGCACTTGAATGCAGCAGTAGTTTCAGAAAATGCCTCTCCAGAAACACAGTAAAAATGCATGCTTCAGATAATACATTTCCATCTGCTGACATTTGTGTACAGCTGTTCATTCCACAAAATCAAAAACATGAAGGTAAATTTAGTCACTTATGAATTTTTGGAAGTTAAAGCGATCCTGAGCCAGCACCAACTATGATAACATGTTATCCACTCCTCACTTCCGACCTTAAGTTCCTGCAGTTTGAGACGAAGGTGGATAAGTTTCACCACAGTGTCCTTCTGTCTCTCCGAGTGTTCTGGCAGCTCTAAAATCAGCTTTTTACACTCCTCTATGGCCAGTTTCAGCTGTTCAATGTCGGATGCCACAAACGAACCCTATCACAGGTGAACAAGAGCAAAAAAGCAGTCTCAACATACAGTAAATAGAATAGGAAGTTATATTCATATATATATATATATATATATATATATAAATAAAAAGAAAATATAAAGGAGTGTGGGTATGTACAATATTTACATTATTAAAGAATTGTTATGGTGAACAGGACTAGTGAATAAATAGCAGCAGAATTGCAGTAGAGAATATTGCACATTAATTATTAAACAGATAATATTGCACAATAGACAATAAGGTCCAGTTTAATAACTAACTAAGGGCCCGTGTGTCAGACACTTAGAGGGAGGAGTTATAGAGCTTGATGGCCACAGGCAGGAATGACTTCCTGAGGCGCTCTGTGGTGCATTTTTGGGGGGGGGGACTCTTGCACTGAAAGTACTCCTATGTTTGAGCAGCACATCATGGAGTGGGTAGAAGACATTGTCCAAGATGACATGTAGTATGGAAGCATATAGGGGACTAAATTAAAACTATCATGCAAACTTGAAAATGAAAATGTAATCCCACAATAACATTATCATTTTCCACATACACACATGTATGTGTTATTTAGGTAAAATTGAAATGAAATCTATCAATCGAACAGCTCAAGGATGGATGTGGCTAACTGTAACGTCAAGCTGTTTCTGTTGTGTATTGTGACATTAAGCTCACACCTGGTCAATGCATGGCATGTGCAAAAAACTTTAACTTGCTTATACCCGAAAGCATCAGTGTCCTGCTGGGCAGTGTCAAGGCCAGGCTAATACAAACCCATTCTCATTCAGAGATATACTTCACATTACTGCAATACTAGTATTAGTGACAATACCGCAACTCAGTCAAAGTTAATGTTATAGGAACAGTCAGACTGTCTGTCATATCAACTACATAGCTGTAATAGTTACCGCTATGAACAGTGCAAAACCATTATCATAACTACACACTTGAGATGATATTGGACTAAGGTTAAAGTGTTTCCTGCAGACAGGCCAGCAGAGGTGTTTCCTGCCAGGCTGACAGAAGACAACAGAGGACTCCTCCCTCCTCCTCAAGTACAAGTTTGTACTTAGCTGTAGAACTCATGTTAATACTGCTATTAACAATATTTGTTTCCTTGTGTATTTTTCTGTAACATAAAGTAGACGTTATTTCCCACTTTTACCACAAGAGGGAGTATACTGTTTAGTGAGTCATTTTAGGAGCAGTCGCAACACTGTAAGGTTAGTACTTTGCTGTAATGTGAGTCTGAACAGACCATGTGCTGGTAACAATCTACCGATCTGCTTGCGTATGTTGCAGGTAGTCCATTTGTTAACTAAAACATCCTCTTCTGAATTCCAGCAAGCAAACGAGAATTACTAAGTTTGAGTTTAAATAGAAACGCTGGCACTCCGGTTGGTGCTGCTGCAGCGCACTGGCTGTTACTGTGTTGGAAGACAACACAGCGGCCAGCAGCATCAGAACAATCTAAGCATCCCCAGGAAGACGCGTCATGATGACCACTGTGTCCCGGATGGGACATGATCTGGACAGTTTCTGTAAATTTTGTGGCTTTGCTACTTTGTGCATTTTAAATACCCAATTTAAATTTTCATTTCATTGGCCATGAATAAAGTGCTTTATTTTTGAGGTTTGGTCTTTTTTAAATGTACTATTACGGGACCTGTGGTATTACAAAGACATCATGTTATTACAAAGGGTTTATGAAAAACTTTTACTAATAGTAATGAATAGTAGTGTAAGCAAGACAAGACATTTTCTTATTTCAAAAACTTTATTATAGTTTTGACAGCTCACAATATAAATTATATCAAATTATCTCAAACTGAATCTGCATTTGAACATTTTTAAAGAGGTGGTATTATGCTTTTTGGCTTTTCTCCTCTTCTTTATTGAGTTATATATTTTGTGCATGTGACAGGTTTGCAAAGTGAAAAAGCCCAAAGGGAGTTCCCATCTCCCACAGAAAGCTCTGCTCTGAACCGCTTGAAAACAGCTCGTTTGTAGTCCAGCCCTTCAGTTCCTTTACTTGTGACGTCACAATGAAAACGCGTCATAAAGGCTAGCGGGGTCAGGCACGCCCTCAAACCAAGCTAGTCTGAGCGGAGGCCCTTTGTATCGACCAGGTAAACTTACATAGGCTACTGCAGCAACAGACACACAGACAGGCGACGGCGTGTGGGCTTAATGTCACAATACACAACAGAAACAGCTTGACTTTACAGTTAGCAACATTAGCTGCAGAATATGCTAACGCCAAATTCAACAGGCAAGTGTTCAAAAAAACTGAAAAGCTACATAGAAATGGCAACACTTACAAGTTCCAAGTTTGAAGTCGGTATAGATCCATCCTTGAGCTGTTCGATCGACAGATTTCATTTGGTTGTGAAGTTACAGCCTAGTGTTGTGTAATGGTAGATATAGAACTGAACCATGAGAACCTGAAGTGGCCTTCCAACTGAAGAGTAAGTGAAGTCTTAACTGAGGACGCGCCTTGATGAGAGGACTGACAGATTGCATTTTCATTTTCATTGTGTCCCTTGGAAAGCTGCTTGTAAATGTAAATGCAATGCAATAGACTGGGGGCGCTGTTTCACTCATTGCATTTGAATATAGTCCACTATAGAGCAGACTAAGTCTTTTAAAATGAAATGTCAAATGCTGTTTCCGTTTTCATTTTAATATGGTCCTAAAATGCTCACACAAGTATGTGAAAATGAAAATGATTGCATTTTCATTTAAATAACACATACATATGTGGAAAATGATATTGTTATTGTGGGATTACATTTTCATTTTCAAGTTTGCATGATAATTTTAATTTAGTCCCCTATATGCTTCCATAATGTAGCTTGGACAGCATTCTCCTCTATGACATCACTGACAGAGAGTCCAGCTCCACCCCTACAATGACACTGGCCTTGCGAATCAGTTTTTTGAATCTGTTAGCGTCCGCTACCCTCAACCTGCTGCCCCAGCATGCAACAGCAAACAGGCTAGTAGGGGTGCAACAACTAATCGACGTAGTCAACAAAAATCGATTATTAAATTTGTTGCCAACGAATTTATTCATCGATTTGTTCATGACGTCATCGGGCCGTAGCGAGACCGTCAGCTTAACAGAGTAAAGTGATGTGAACAGTAATGTTAAAGTTACTAAAACAACATCAGAGCTGCAGCGACACCTTCACTACCTAAAGCCTCCAGAGTGTGGCAGCATTTCACTCTTCACTCAGCCAGAAAGGTTGTGAACTGCAGCAAAGCTGAGCTCTCCTGGAAACACCGGAGCATCTGAAGAGGAGGCTCATAACGTTGTGTCTCTGTGTATGATGAAGACTTGTCTCGGTAAGCTAGTTAGCTAGTTAGCGAGCTAGCTTCACGTCAAAGCCGTGTTACTTCAGGTTATGAGCTGAAACGTTTTCTATACAGTTGGTCAATTTGATTGTTACAGTACTGGTACTGTGAGTAGGACATAATTATGATACACAACGCTCGCATTCACGTTCCGGATGCGCCCTGACTTTACAATCAAACGATGCATCGCTCATGCCGACGTTCCCAGCTGGAGAACGTGTTGCTGCCGAGTGTGCAAGATTAACCGCGGTGAAATTAGTTGGATATTCGACAGACATTCACCCAGGATCCGGTGACGATAATAAATTACAATTGTTAAAATAGTGTTATGGGAAAATCATCATTTATTTCAATAGCTTCCATGTCATGACCCAAAGTCATCAAACCAACGCCAAACTGTAGAGCTACACTAGTCGATTATTCGTTTCAATAATCGATAGATTAATCGACTATCAAAATAGTCGTTAGTTGCAGCCCAACAGGTAAGCACTGGCCACAACAGATTCATAAAACATCCTCAGCATTGTCTGGCAGATGTTTAAGGACCTCAGATGGCTTTGGCCATTCCTGTAAAGGGCTTGAGTGTTCTTGTTTATTTTTCAAATACTGTCAGTTTTACAATATGAAACAGTTCCATTTAGTGTTGAGTTGAGGCAGACAGCAGAAACATTGCTTTACTTACCATAGGCCTTGAGAAGTGGTCCTCAGCTAGACCAAGGTCCATGGTCCGATCTGAACTGTGGGTTCTGCTTGCAGAAAACAGCTCAGGCCTTGCTTCTGAAAAGAGGGCAACGTTGCATGAAGCACAGTTCTTTATGTAAGCACACACACTATGGTCTGGTAACTGCACTCAGTCATGCGTGCTAATTTCACACACGACTGTGGTCACTCAAGACAATCGGTACACTCTGACTCACCACTCAAGAAGTCAAGAAGAACAGAAGCTGAAAATGGACAAATGAAGGAATCAGAGGTAACTGTCTTATCAGTCGTGGTAATGTGTAACCAAGCCACTCCTACTGTATTTATTCATCATTCTCTATTTCAGTGCTGTTCATACTGTTCATATTGTTTTATCGTCATATTGTGTATATACTGTATACCAAATCCACCTACCTCAAGTACATAACACATGTATGCATGTATGTGTATGTATACCTGTATCTCACATCCACCTCCGACATAACAATAATAATAATAACGATAATAATTTACTCCTGCATCCTTTGCACTCTGATGATTGCACTATTGTCTCAATCTGTTTATATTGTTTTTTTAATAGTTTGTATATATATGTGTTCTCTATACAGTAGCCTGTGACTGATTTTATTATTGTATTATTGTATGAGTAAGCACATCGTGAGCAATGTACAATCCTGTGTCAAATTCCTCTTCTGTGGACACATACCTGGCTAATAAAGCTGATTCTGATTCATTAAACCTGCTGCAAACCAAACTTTGAAGTGCTTAGGCATCTTCTATATATGGACAACTACTAGCCTGGAAACCAGACAAATCTGTTCTGTATGAATCTGGGAACTCTCCCATTCAGACATTCTATCTGTCCTGGATCCTGGAACCATTTATCTAATATGGAGCGGGTTTGATACGATGACTGACAGAGGAGTGCTGTTGAGACATTTTCCTAAACAACCAATATGGCTGCCGCTGCAGTTTCTGTTTAATCCGCTATCAAGTCAGTATTACATGAACTGGACAGTACAGTACTGAACCACAACATCTGACTCCTTATAAAATTGTTATAGTGAACTAAATCCCATTTACACATCCAGCAGACACAGAGCAACATTAGCCCGGGATAAGCATTCATGTCTATTTTGATCTCCAAACAACGTCTGAGAAAGACATTTGGCTCTTGATCTGCTAAATGCTCCACTATGTTGAGCAGCTAGATGCTAACTTTGTCTGTCCTACGCTTGGTGCTGGAGAAGGCACATGGATGTATTATCCATGGTTAATGGTTAATGTAAAAAATATTGATGAGTCCAACTTAAACAGAATGCAGGACTAGAGGCTAAATTTAGACATACAGCAAGATAACACAAAACTGGGAATAACTGTGCATTTTACTAAGAGGACAACATCACTGTACAGCTTACTACAGTCCAATAAAATACCTTGATAAATACTACCTTAATACTCTTTACTGTTTTTGTTAAACTTTGTAAGAGGTGTGTGAAACAACTGTGGTTATTTTACAGACCCCTACTTCTCATACACTGTAAAGGGTTCCATTGTTTCTGCCCCTGTGTATACCCTTGAGTTAGACTGAGTTATATACAAGCAACACTTTTTTGTTTGACTAAAAGCCTGTTTACATTCATCTGCTGAAAGCGGAAAGTTTCTGTGCTCTTTGAAATTTTGATTTTAAGGTGTGACCCTGCACGCATGATGTGTGACATCACAAATAGTTTGGAAGCCAATCCAATTTTCAACTTGTACAAGTGTGATGTAGAAACTTGAAGCCACCAGTGCACATACACTGAGAAGTAAGAGACTGACATCTTGTGTCCAGTGGAAAAACTTTGGAAATTAACACAATTTGCATGTTTAAAGATTCTGGAATTTGAGCTAGAAGGCGTAGATGCCATTTTAAAGATTTGAATGTGGAAATTATACTTTTTTGTGTGTAAAAACATATCAGACGCATTATTGTTCCAAACAGACTATTTGTATATATGTTTTAATTTAGTTGTCCGACTTTTAACTCTGTCACATTCTACACGAGACCTCGTTACATTGGTATTAGTAGCCTATGCAGCGTACCTGAGTGGAGCAGCATTGAAAAACAAATGTAAAACTGATAAAGCCGAGTAGGTGCGAACATGCGCAAATCAACTTCAGCCAGCTGATGCGAGACACTGGCATATGCAGTGACAGTCCAGCGCAGAGCTGGACAGCCCCGCCTCTCTTTCCTGTCAAAGGTCAACGCATATGTTTAAAACCTTTTTGTTTGTTTAAAAGAATGGATGAAGAGAGAGACTATCCTTCTAGGCACGAGAAGATAAATAAACTCAATGAGAGTGAAGTGCGGGAACAGCAGTCAGGTATACTTGTGTTCTCTCCTCTCCAAGTCAGCAGATCACACTTACCCTAATGTGCAGCTGCAGTGAATCTCTCTGTCTGTCCGTCCTGCTAACCAGCTGAGCAGCAAGACATAATAGCGTGGTAGACTGGGCAATATGGATGCACATCTCAGTAAATAATAAGCATCACGTATTCAACCCATTTATACCCAAACCCATTTAGTCATTATATAAATAGTATTATATATCTTAAAGAGATCATATTATGCTCTTTTTCAGGTTCAAAATCTTATTTAGGGGTTATACCAGAACAGGTTTACATGGTTTAATTTTCAAAAAACACCATATTTTTTTTCATATTGCATATTGCTGCAGCTCCTCTTTTCACCCTGTGTTGAACGCTTCGTTTTAGCTATGGACTGATACATCTTGTCTCTAAATGATCTTTGTTGGGAGTTGCACATGCGCAGTTCCTAGTTAAGGACTACTAGCCAATCAGAAGCAGAGAAGGGCAGGTCAGCGAGCAAACATGGCTTCGGTTCAGCTGTACATGTTGCTGACCAGCTTGTCAATAGTTTCAGAGTGGTGAGTAGTTAATCTGTAACAAATGTATCTTTCATCCATGAGGGCCCGTGTCTACCAAAGCGTTTTTCCCATCTGAAAACGGCACCTACTGTTCTGAAAATGCCTAGCTGGAAACACTAGGGTGTGTTTTGGAGGTGCAGGTTTTTTTTTTCGAGACGCTGTGGTTGCTATGATACATCATTTCCGTGGAGGCGATGTGTTACAAGTAGGGTAGCCTACTTAATTTTAGTGAATGTAAAAATGTCACCACAAAGTATGTAGGCCTACTTGCTCTGGCCTTTGCTCTGCATGAGGAGAAGGCTGAAACATGAGAGCACAGACTGTCCGTACTTGGGTTCATGAGATTTTGCTGCACTGTGATTGGACAGCTCGGTAAAAAGTGACAGTTAAACATTTTTCAACTCTCGGCGACCGGATAAAAAAGCTCAGCGCCCAGCGCGGGAAAGACACTGAGCGCTTCGTCACGCTGCTCCCATTTTTACCAGCTTGGAAAAACGCAGCACTCCCATTGCAATGAATTAAAAATAGACGCTGGCGTCAGAAAAAAACACTTCGTCTAAGACACGGGCCCTAAAGTTTTAACTGAGCTCTGTCTCTACATCATAGTAATAACTTTATGTCCATTGACTGCCTAGAGGGTAATCTGGAAGGAAGAGGAGGTGTGTTCTGTAGCTCAGTGTTTTTCCACCGGTGTTTTTGAGGGGGTGTCGGAGTAGACGCTTGGCGAGCGTTATATGAGGCGCATGTCGTCACAATGATGAAAGGGAAGCGGCTGGAATACAAACAAGCTGTTTTCAAGTAGTTCAGAGCAGAGTTTTCTGTGGGAGATGGGAACTCCCTTTGGGCTGGACTTTGGGCTTTTTTACTTTGGAAACCTGTTACATGCACATAAAAGATATATAACTCAATAAAGGAGAGGGAAAAATCCAAAAAGCATAATACCACCTCTTTAAAATGTATCAAAAGTACGAAACCTAGACGAGCCAGTTTGAATGAGCCTGATGCAGCTGAAGAAAATATCTATAATTTACAGGGGCTATGGTTAAGTCTGTCAGAGTAGATGCTGGATCATCAGCCAGTACAGGAACAGACTCCAGCCAGTCAGCCAGTTTAAGCACAGCTGATCCACATCCAGCCTCAACCAGTACCAGCACAGACCCAGTCCCGAATCTTTTAGCAGGTCACACAGACCCAGGTGAAACACAGGCAGCCTCAGCCAGTACGAGCACAGCCAGAGATGTGCAGCCAGAATCAGATACAAGCAGCTTAGACCCTAATGGAACACTTGCTTCTCCACCAAATGACCCAGCAGATTGGCCCCCAGTCTTAACAGACTTCATGAGAACTGAGTTAGCGCGCATAGTCTGGAGTCCCTGTTTGGGACTGTGCGTTGCACTTTATGAGAGGTGCTGAAGTTAACGTGTGGATTTTTGGTGAGATTGTGAATTGAGAAGTGTTTCAGTTAGTTTTGGTTTTCGCTTCCTTGTCTTATCTTAACATACCCAAAGTCCCAAAGAGGGTTCTGTGTCTGTCTGTAGGTCTGAAGGGAATACTACCACAACAGCAGAGCAATGACGCAGACTTAGGCCCCATCCACACTACTGCATTTTCGAATTAAAACGGAGACCTTCTGCTACGTTTGCACCTCCCGTCCAGACTACAACGATGAAAACGAAGACCTAAAACGGAGAAGTTTGGAAACGCTGCGTTTCAAAACTCCGGAGGGCGTTTTAGTGAAGACAGGCGGACTTTAGAAACGATGACGCAGACGCTCACGCTCAGCTCTCTGATTGGGTCTTGCAAAGCAGAAACACAATGCTGCTGACCGGATTTTTGACATCATATTTTTATTAAAATATTCTGTGCCATGCAAATAACATTCATCTGCCATTCATCTCAGATCATCTGCCTACACTTGTACTGTGCATGTCGCTGTTTACTTTGCAACATCACCCACACTGTTTTCTGCCGCCACACTCCCGTGTTACATTCAGTAACAGTCCCAGCTCGTTATTGATCCATGCAACAAAAAAAAAATAAAATAAACTGGTCTGATGCTTAGTCTGTATTTATTTATTCTTTCACCAAATCTTCTGTAACTACGGAATAGACCATCTGCTTCATGTTTACACTGACACACGCATGCCCAGTGCACCAGAACGGGTCCTAGCTGTGCGTTTTCAGTCGTTTTAATGTAGACGGAGATCAACTCCAAAACGCAGCCGAAACGCTGGTGTGGACGGAGATCGTATTCGTTTTAATTCTCCGTTTGTAAACTAAACGGAGTAGTGTGGATGGGGCCTTATCCTCCCCACATATAGGAAATATCCACTTGTCCCCTTGCGACTCAGTTTTCCTTATTGTGATTCACTATAACTTGTAATGTTGTATTCAAACCCGCCTTGAGATTTTTATGTGTAGTACTTTTACTTTTGATTGCTTAAGTATTTTTAAAACCAGGCGCCGTATTACAGAAAGTTCCTATCTTAAGTCTTAAGTTAAGATAGGAAGAGCCTAAGATAGGATATTTCTCATTTTGGTATTACAGAAGCAAATCCTAACTAACTTTAGGAATCCTATCTTATCTCAGGTTAGGAAATCCTAAATACTCAATCCAACAATGTCGGTTATCAACTTTTATGTCTGTTACCTAGCAACCAATGCCACTTTGCTCATCTCGCGAGCTAAACGTTTTTTAATCGCTGTTTTTTGGTCGTTTTTTTTAATGAAAGATACACTGAAAATGAAGCAGAAACAACAACTATCATTGAAATTCACGGAACACTTAACTGGGGAGATTAAAGAGAGAGAGTAGGATAAAATAGCGGACACAGTCACCGCCGCATATCCGGCATCCAGCGGAGCATTGATTCTATCAAAAAGAAAATAAGTCTATCGACAAGTGGTACGAAGAGAAAGGCAGCAGTTGTGTCCAGAGAGCAGAGGAAAACCGCTGGTGGCTCCTCCTGCGCTCCCACACTGACCCCGGCAGAAACCCGTACTCTGCTGGGGAAAGTTAATAATGAAATAATAATAAAATAATAATAATAATAATAAAGGCTGTGGGCTAACGTCATCATGTATTTCTTGAATTTAACGATCTCCTATCAAATCAAATACTTGCACTTGGATAGGTTTTGTTACATCAAGCCTTTACATTATCTTATATAATGAGACGTTATCTAGCGTTACATCACCTACAGCCTTTCTACTAACGAGTGTTTTGTCATCAGACACATCGTTAGAATCAATTAAGTTCCACCTGTTGAAATTTTGTTGATTTTGTAAAAGCAGTAAAAGAGCGACCATGTGGATTAAACACTAACTGGTGGAAAAGTAAAGGTTAGGACAGCTTAACAGTTATCCTAAAGTTGGAGAGTTTATTTAAGATTTTACAAAGTTAGGATGCTTCTGTAATACACTTTTCAAGGTACAAGGTTTATTAGTCATTATACAGCACAAGGCTGCATAACGAAATTAAATTTGTAGTTCCTTCTTGCTACACACACAACATATAAATAAGTGTAGGCCTATATTAAAATATGGTAACATCTATATAGGCTGTGTATTTATTACTTAAGATTTACCTGAGGGCTCCCCTGTTTTAACCCAAAACAGTCCTGGATACGTATGAGTATGTACATATATTATCAGGACCATCAAAAAATAGAGTGTCCTGTTGATTGTGTCTATTTATATATGTATGCACTGATACCACAAGTTTTTTGTTGTATACATAATGTGGAGATTGTAACATTTACTGTGTTTTTTCTAGAAATGTTATAAATTTTATTGTCAGTCTAAATCTATATTGAAGTTTGATAGTGTTGTCTTTTGGACCTATTTTTTTTTGGGCCATATGTTGTATGTATTTGATGTTTTTTCCTCTAATTATCTAATGTTGTTTATTATGATATTTCGTCTAAGCTATTTGTCCATAGCGATATAGAAGGTACCAGAAAGATTTGAGAGCATGTCTGTTCATGAGTGCAGTTTAGGATATTGTTTTGATGAACATTCAGTACACAGAAATTTACACTCATCCCATGGAAATATGAATGAGTGTTTTTGTAATGGTTGCCTTACTTGATGAGGAAGTAGATGATTGGTGTGTTTCAAACAAGTCACCTCCTACAAAAGATGGCTTCTAATTTAGTAACACCATTTGCCTGATGAAGGTCTAGCACCGAAACGTTGTGTCAATACAATCTTTTTGCAAGTTAGACAGTGTGCGGGAATTTTCTTTGTTACGTTTGACTCAGATGTACCCCCTCCGACGCACCTGTCTCTCGTTATAGAGGTGCGAAGTAATTTAATGTTTCGAACACATAAAATAAATAAAAAACAATACAGTTATTTATATACATACACGTATTCACCCAGAACATTCCATAGTGCATTTTTTTAATTTGCATCCAGGGTGACATTTGCATCTTCCAATCTTTAGTTTGGAAAGGAATATTTACTTAGGAACTGTTAATCTGTAATGGTCTTTTTCCTAAATCAGTTCCTAACCTTTATTACCATGGTTAGGAAAGGATCTCCTGGTTAAGAAGTTTCTGTAATACGGACCCAGGTACTTTTTTACTTTTACTTTAGTAACGTTAACATTTATCATGTGGTATCTGTACTTTTACTTAAGTATGAAAATTTAGTACTTCTTCCACCACTGGAAAAGGGAGACACCAAAATTAAAAATGGCAAGGCAATATACAGTTAATTGTCAACACTAATCTGTGACAAATTTACACTCAAATTACAATATGATCACAACTACTAGATATCAACACTGTATTCTGAAAAGACATACAGGCCTTAGATATATAATCTTTCAAATCAAAAGATATATAGTAAAGAAACTTAATGTCCATCTAACTCACAAAATGCATACAAATGCGGTTGTTACCTGCATACACCTCAGAACAAAACATGTTGAGTGAATTCAGCTTCTCAGTGCCAGACAGAGAGATGACAATGAACCAAAATGAAAAAACACAGATGACACCAGTGAAATCAGTCCTGCTAACAGTTTGTCAGGCTTGCCTGTCAAACTGTTCGAAGAAAAACTCCCAAATCCTAAAATACAGGAAGTGTTACATAAGTACTGCTCATACTTACACTTTTCGTTTCCTCTGGTTGAGCTACAGTATTTTCTACTTCCTTTTCCAAAAGCTTAAGAATTACTTACAAAAGTCCCAGTGTTCTTGTTCTTTATGTTATGGAGATTAGTTCTAGACTAGACAAAAACTGTTTAGCCTGTGTAAATATTTGGGGGAAATAATTTGTCAAAATCAGTTTCACAAGGGATTCAATGCTTCATACAGTAAATGAGCCATAGTGACATAATCTAAGCACCCAGCAGCCCCATTGTAAGTTTACATCTGCAACTAAAGTGACATTTAGAAAAACAGAACCCATGACCTCAAAAAATACCTCCCAGTGCAGCTCCTATCTGTTTAGTAAGGGAAATGTCTAGAAAATCTATAAATTTTATCCTCCTAATGACACACCACAGGCAGCAAACATGTTAGTTTTACACAACAAATGCAAATAAAATCCCAAATCAACTGGCCTCTTTTCACAGTCTTCCAAACCAGACATTTTTTCAGAGCGTAACAGAATATTGAAGGGATGGCTGGATGTCTGCCAGTGTAGACTAGACACACTTCCTAGCCAAAGACAAAATTTACATCAGTGAGGTGCAAATTTGCCAATTCTGTAAACTTTACCTTGCTGTGGAGGCATCTTGCCTTCTTGGAGACCATCTTCTTCCTCTCCACGATCAAAGGGATTGAGGCGGGTTTGGCGGAAAAGTGCAAGTCTCTCATCATACTCCATTTCATTGGCTACATCTAAGGAAGACAAAATACATTACAGTCACACTGGTTAAATACTCTGAAGTGAAGCAGGAAATCAGATACTGTAATGGTCATCTTTTAATAGAATCCAAAATGTGTCTGAATGGTTATTATGCATTGTCTTCCCATTTACATCCCAATTCAACTGTGCTGCTACATCTTTAAACCTGGTCACAATACATACTTAAAACTTTGAAGTCTCCCATCATTAGGGTTATTTTCTCAGACTTTACAACTACTCCAGCTACTCCAGAGCCAAGGAAGACATCAGCAGACATTACACAACTGTTCACAGGCTGAGTAGTTCTCCCTTTGACTAAGTTAATAAATTAACTTTGACAATGACACCTCTTTTTAGGCTACAGATTCTCAAATTGAATAATGCATTGCTATATCAAGAGGTTAAGAAACTGCTCCACAGTTCTTTTAAAAACAAAAACAGCATGACCAAAACATGTTCCCAAGAGGCGGTGGTGCATGAAATAAAAACGATATGATAAAAACGGTATGCTAGTATTGTGGTGATGCTATTCAATAAACCTACAATGGCAGAGAAATTAAAACCACAGCACTCCTATGAAAACCAATGTGCTAGCAGGCTGCTGCAAAGCTGGTTAACAGGAAGTAATTTCTAAAGAATGATCCAAATACAGACATTTACTTCACTATTTATCGATCAGGCTAGAAAACACTGCAAAGCGTTATAACGTTAATAATGTGATAACGTTACAAACACAGTTTTAAGCCTCACATCACCAATTAACTGTTATAACCTAACGTTTCATCAGGGCTGCTGTTGACAGTCCTCCTCTATAAAGCGGTAACCTTGATTAACGTTATGCTTCGAGTATCACGGCTAAACATGTAGGATATTGAATATTAACTCATTATTAACACATTAACATCAATATAACGTTAACGTTACACAGATGTCAACAGCCAGCTAACGTTAGCTAACTAGCTTTCAAAACAAACCATCTGTTTGGATGCTAATGTTAGCTAAGTTAACGGGTCGGTCTAGTCGGAATCTTACCCCGTTGTTGACCTTATTTATCACCAAGGAGTCGACTGTTTTAAATTATACCCAATAGTCGACGACTGTAGTTAATATAAACAGTTCTCCCCGTGTTGTTTTGTCATCAGCAACATTGTAAGAGCAAAAACAGTCAAGTCATCCATTGTTAAAAACCTCTTTCCGGTTAGTATTTCCAAAACAAAAACCTTCATGGCTGCCATGCAGTAGCATTGTGTGATTAATGTGAGGAAATTAAGAATGCTTTTTCATAAGTTACTGTACTTGAACAGAATACTTCTGTCTCTTGTGTAAATATAGCACATTAAGCTACACTGGCTTATGGAAGTAATGTTTTATGCTTTTATTTCGAAAATACACTTACCTCACGTTCTGTCTCTTTCCCTTTCATTGAAATAGAGCTATTAAATAGCTTTTAAGTAATCTCAGAAATAAAAAACATCACCTTCAAAGTGTAGACTACATGTCATGGTAGGACTTTATTTCTTCTGCATTTAATGCTTTGCAGCTACATGCCATGACATCTATTAATAACAGCTGATTGAACTGGAGATGATGATTAAAAGGAAATGTTCATAGCCTGTATTATTCAGAGATTTTAATGACATTTTCAGAAATGTAGTTTTCAGAACTTAGGATAGATTTAGTTTGCCTAATTGCTAGTAAATTGAAAATTATCTTTTCATTAATAGAGATGAAACACTTTCTATAAATGATCTTAGTATTGCAATTGTTTTGCATGGATTTTGATCTGTCTTAAATGCCCAAGGTGCACATTGGGTACTGCCAGGGGAAACTGTCTGGGCCCATAATATTGTAAAAAAATATTTTGAAAAAGTTCTAATTTCATTTTTACAGCGTTACATTATTTTGACTGCTGCTGCCACTGTTGTGTATTTTACATTTATTTGGGAAAACTGTCATTAACATGCACATTTTGCTTGTGATGTGTGTGCTGTGATGTTTGTGTGTGATGTGTAGGCTTAAATTAAATGTTGGTTTTGCGTGGTAGAAGGGGTGGCTACACAGACAGCGTGTGTGATAATGATAAGAAATTAGCTGTTTGTTTTGGTGACAGCTCTCACTCCTTCCGTGCTGTTTTCTTATTGCAGTTGAGCTGGAAGTTTGCTTTTTTCTTCAAGTTTGCCATATTGTCTGCCATGCTGTAGTTGACATCTCAGTGTAAGTGTATTTATAAAGAAAGGAAAATAAATACATTATAGAGTATAAGGAAAGAGAGCAATGCAGGGGCTTATCATTGTACACTTACAACATAGAAAGACAGCTCTTAAAACCATATCAATCCATTTAAAGACCACTGGGTCAATATAAAGCTGAGAAATCTTAGTGTAAGAAATTTGTTTTATTTGTTTTGTTTGTTACATCAGTAAGGGTCAGAGTCTTGGTTTCTTTTCATATGAATAACCTTGGACTCTTATAGCTTGAGAATGTTTGTTGTGGCAGCTGTGGACATTTTTCTTGCCGTGAACAGATCTGCTTTTTGTGCAGCAAAATAAAGACTAAGTCATAACCTTAACTGTAAACGTGCTGCTCCCTGCAAAGAAAAGTACTTTGGTCATCCTTTGGACTAATCTGTGATAATTATAGTCAAGTGACATGCCTATGTTATGTCTGCTTCATAATGTCATTTACTTATTATGTTATTTACTTCACTGACAATTATGGAAAGTCTTTAAGAGTATTTGTAAAGGATTTCAATGTCACATAGATGGATGTGTATAACGTTCAGTGGTTGTCCAAACTGGCATAGGGTATTGTCAGAGCATGTTCACACGGACAGTAAGTCATCCACTTATCAGAAGGTAGGTGGTTTGATTCCCCGCTGCCCCAGTCTGCATGTCGAAGTATCCTTGGGCAAAGTAAACCCGAAAAAGCTGAATGTGTTAGTTTCTGATGAGCACCTTAACCTTCAGTGTGATGTAAAGTACTTTGAGTGGTTGGAAAGACATGAAAGCTATACAAGTCCAGACCATTTAGCATTACTAACAGGTAGTTGTCTCTCTTTACCTCAGGGTGTCATGTGATCAATTAGCCAACTGGCTACTTACTATTATGAAATAATGAAATAAAAATATTCAATATCAAAAGAAAATATAAATTCAGTAATTCAATTTTCTAAATAAATTACACTAAAAGGAAAATAGTGTAACAGTGTTTTCCCATTACACAGTGGTGCATCACCGCTGCTATTAAAAAAAAAAAAAAAAACACTCCCTAAATACAATAAAGTCACTATCTCTACTTTAGGAAACCAAAGTCGGGGACCAGCAAGGATTATAAATCAAACACCCCCAGGCCCTACTGTTTAGCAATCTGTTATTAATGGTTATTGGTCATTTGGAAGCACAGTTGGTGGCACGTGAATGTAGTCCAATACACATCAGGTTCCTCTGTCTCCTCCTAGTGCACCTAAAGCCGTTTGCAAGAATCCACCACTCCAGAGTCAAAACTACCAATCAGAACCAGGAGGAGTCTCAGTGTGTGATTTAGTGCTCTTGCACACACTGCACAGCCTCCCTCCTCGCGTATGCACTCAGTCAAGCTCAATATCTTCAGCCTCTGGCTTCAAAAGTTTTGTAACACAATGGCTTAAAAACAACCTCCAGCAATGAAATAACTGCCCATCCCTCCTTTGCCAACAACACCATACAAAACACTTGAACACACGTCCCTGCTCCGCACAGAGTTTCGGGCTCATTATGTTCAATAGCATGGCGCTCGTATCTACAGGTGACAAAGTGGCATGATGACAAACAGTGGGAAATAACTCTGAGGGGGGGACAGGGGTGTATCAGTCACTGTTGTTTCTGAAAGTACTTGCTACTCCCTCGCTCTACCTACTTCCACTCTGAAGTGGATGAGTACCATCCGAAACCAATTAGTGCAGAGTGGCAGTGGGTTATGAAACCCTCCAGTGCTGAGTGAGCATCGATGCTGGCTTGCTGAAAGTGTGTAACACCATTTGCTGCACAATGGTGGACCCTTCTTTCAAATGTGAGTTCCGTGTGACTATGCCCGTAAACATGTAGGATTTTTAAATTTCGAAACTACACTAACATATATCACCAAACGCAGGTTAACAATGTAGCCTAAAGGTTATATTTTGTTTACTAAAAAAATGCTCGTCTGATTTTATGGAATCTTATCCATCTCATACGAAAATCTCCAGGCAAAACAAAAGTAAATAAAACGACAGAATAATAAAACATGACACACCTAGTTAGTCTACATAGGGGTATCATGTAACAAGCAACAAAGGCATTAAAGAAAAATAATTAAATCTTTATACAATTTAACAGTTTTAATTGTTTTACTATTCTTCCAACCATATAATGCTTTAATATAATGTTTGGTTTCTATTTTGAAATGTTGTATTTGTGATTTCTTTTTAGACCATTTGTGTTTGTGACTGTGATATTTTACAATATTTTATCAGATAAAGAGGTTCAAAATCTTTAACAATCAATATCAATCTTCCATCCATCCATCCATCCATCCATGGTCAACCGCTTATCCTGCGTACAGGGTCGCGGGGGTCTGGAGCCAATCCCAGCTGACATCGGGCGAAAGGCGGGGTACACCCTGGACAGGTCACCAGTCCACCGCAGGGCCTAAACCAAGAACATGAATTATTAAATTTTGTTGTTTTTCTTTAGTGACAGCTCCCAGGCTGAGGGCTCTGTAGTTAGACATAACAAAAATTTCCAACAAATGACTTAAAGCTATTGCGCAAAATCTCTTTAGCAACTATCATCTAAAAGTATTATTTAGTCAGGTTGACCAATTATTTTTATACACAGATCACTAATTATCGCACTGAAGGGTTCTTTCATTCATTTTTGGATTAATTTTTAATCCCTTTCATAATCCTCTGAAAAAACAAAAGCTATGCCCAAAAGTTCCAAATATAAGTAATAAAACTATAGTGATCAAGCAAACAGTACAAAAACTTAAAGAAAAAGATTAAGTAAAAATTCAAGAGGTTAGCAATAATAATAATAAAAGTTAGTAATACATTTTTAAGACAAATGTTTGCTCTCTTGCCCTTTCTCTCTTAAAATGCTGTGAGAAAAACTGTGAGATTAAATTTTATTAAATTTTTCTCAATGATGGCCATGTGGATGAACTACAACAAACCCAATAATTCATGAATTAATTTTTAAACAATTAAGATGTTTCTTCTTTATTGTTCCTTGAGGACAGGATGAGGATTTATATTTGTTCCAGTTGGAAATCCCCTTCAATGATGTTATTTACAGCACAGCAACTAGACTTGATCATGAGTTTAAAAATGGAGAGTTTCAAAAACGTCTCTGTTGTGTTATATATCAATGGCCCTTCTGTCCTCTGAGAGTAAATGTTGCACTGCACTTTTTTTTTTATGAAGCCAAAAAAATATACAATATATTTAATATATATTAAAATTCAAGGACATGTTGTTACGTTGTAGTCTTCCGTCTTTGCTTCATCAGATATTGCAGATACACTCCAGAGACTAGCCTATACAATGTGTAATGAATTGAGATGTTTACATCTGAAACCATGAACAGCAGCCATCATTTCATAACCTGTATATCTATCTCCTTCTTTGGCACCTCTGACACATCCTATGGTGCTAAGTGCACAGCCTTTTTTGCAGTCTCTTATCTTTTAGCCTTTACATGAATGACTCTGTTTTTTTTATTTGGTCTCCAACTAAACTAAAACAACCTGAAAACCGAATATATCCACAACAGCCTGTCCCAGGGCTCCAGACTTACTATTTATAGTAGGAGCACTGTAGCCCCTAGCTGAAAAGTTTAGGGGCACACACCTTAAATAAATTTTTCATATTTACCCCATTTTAACTTTATTACTGATAAATACTTTGGTAATAAATACAGAAACTACAATGTGCTGTTTTACTTTAGTTCACAGTCACATTTTAAGTGAATGGTGTTTAACTAATTCAGATACTGGAAGTTGTGATGTCATGTATCTGGCTTGGCATATTTTATGTTTTAGTCTGCTGTTGTGCTTCATTAAGGTGTTGTGTTTAAACTGTGTGGTGCCAGTTGCCACAGCAAACTTAGTCTTCCCCACATGTTGTGGACCACATTTAGTGCAACAGATACAGCTCATGGTGTTGGTGTTTTTGCTAAATCCAAGCCATGTAAATTCCCTCAGCCAGGGGCAGACTGGCGCAATAATTTAGGTCAGAAATTTGATTCAATCTCAGGCCACCCTGTTTACGCAAACAACCAGACCGCTAATTTTGTAGACCAACCCTATTTGTTGATGTAACGGGTACCAAAATAGGTATTGATCTGGCCATTATGTTGATCTGGGAAGAAAGTTATCCACATTAAAAAATACAAACATTTGGGACACAACATTAAAGTAGCCTATCTGAACAGAATTTTCAAGGTGGCTATGGGTGCACCCTCAAAAACTCCCAAGAAATAGTCTACACCAATCATTGCACACACAAGGCTAGACACAAAAACAATTAGCCTACACTTTTAAAAAAGAGAAAAGATATATACACTGCTCAAAAAAATAAAGAGAACACTAAAATAACACATCCTAGATCTGAATGAATGAAATAATCTCATTAAATACTCCTTTCTTTACATAGCTGAATGTGCTGACAACAAAATCACACAAAAATGATCAATGGAAATCAAATTTATCAACCCATGGAGGTCTGGATTTGGAGTCACACAAAGTGGAACACCACACTACAGGCCGATCCAACTTTGATGTAATGTCCTTAAAACAAGTCAAAATGAGGCTCAGTAGTGTGTGTGGCCTCCACGTGCCTGTATGACCTCCCTACAACGCCTGGGCGTGCTCCTGATGAGGTGGCGAATGGTCTCCTGAGGGATCTCCTCCCAGAACTGGACTAAAGCATCCGCCAACTCCTGGACAGTCTGTGGTGCAACGTGGCGTTGGTGGATGGAGCGAGACATGATGTCCCAGATGTGCTCAAGTGGATTCAGGTCTGGGGATCGGGCGGGCCAGTCCATAGCATCAATGCCTTCCTCTTGCAGGAACTGCTGACACACTCCAGCCACATGAGGTCTAGCATTGTCTTGCATTAGGAGGAACCCAGGGCCAACCGCACCAGCATATGGTCTCACAAGGGGTCTGAGGATCTCATCTCGGAACCTAATGGCAGTCAGGCTACCTCTGGCGAGCACATGGAGGGTTGTGCGGCCCCCTAAACAAATGCCACCCCACACCATTACTGACCCACCGCCAAACCGCTCATGCTGGAGGATGTTGCAGGCAGCAGAACGTTCTCCACAGCGTCTCCAGACTCTGTCACGTCTGTCACGTGCTCAGTGTGAACCTGCTTTCATCTGTGAAGAGCACAGGGCGCCAGTGGCGAATTTGCCAATTTTGGTGTTCTCTGGCAAATGTCAAACATCCTGCACAGTGTTGGGCTGTAAGCACAACCCCCACCTGTGGACGTCGGGCCCTCATACTACCCTCATGGAATCTGTTTCTGACCGTTTAAGCAGACACATGCACATTTGTGGCCTGCTAGAGGTCATTTTGCAGGGCTCTGGCAGTGCTCCTCCTGCTCCTCCTTGCACAAAGGCAGAGGTAGCAGTCCTGCTGCTGGGTTGTTGCCCTCCTACGGCCTCCTCCACGTCTCCTGATGTACTGGCCTGTCTCCTGGTAGCGCCTCCATGCTCTGGACACTACGCTGACAGACACAGCAAACCTTCTTGCCACAGCTCGCATTGATGTGCCATCCTGGATGAGCTGCACTATCTGAGCCACTTGTGTGGGTTGTAGACTCCGTCTCATGCTACCACTAGAGTGAAAGCACCGCCAGCATTCAAAAGTGACCAAAACATCAGCCAGGAAGCATAGGAACTGAGAAGTGGTCTGTGGTCACCACCTGCAGAATCACTCCTTTATTGGGGGTGTCTTGCTAATTGCCTATAATTTCCACCTGTTGTCGATTTCATTTACACAACAGCATGTGAAATTGATTGTCAATCAGTGTTGCTTCCTAAGTGGACAGTTTGATTTCACAGGAGCGTGATTGACTTGGAGTTACAGTGTGTTGTTTAAGTGTTCCCTTTATTTTTTTGAGAAGTGTACATTGTTTGCTCAAATGTTCAAACGATTATCTTTATATTCAAGCATCAATTGTCACACACACACCTTCATTGAACTTGATTAGTGAACTAATTTCTAGAAGCTATATTTTTATGTTTTCTATAGTCTATAAAGAAAATACAGATTAATTATTGCTGCTGCTGGTCAAGTTGACAATTAACTTATTTTCACCCAAACCACAATCTTTTACTAAACCTAACCAAGTAGTTTTGTTGTCTAAATCTAACCAAACTGAACCTTTTTCACAACATCAATCGCGTGTTTAACGTCATGTGACTTACATAACATACTTAACATCTGGTATGCCTGATATTTGACTGCTAGCCTACTTTCCAGTGGTCATATAGGCTACTGTATGTTGTTTTGGGACAATTGACAATCAACCTATTTTGTCCTTTAGGTGTGAGGATGTGTTGTATCACAAATAACGTAATAACAAATAAAAAACATGGAAGATAGAAGGGTGCTCAATGCTGCAGTAAAAGGGTGATTAATGCTGCAGCTGTTATTAATTTACCACAAGCGCTTGTTGTTTTGGCCTCTTTATTTGAGACAAATAGATAACATGTAAACACTTTCAAGGATTACATATAACACATGTTCTTTCTATAAAATAACTGTACAACACAGTCCTGTTTTGCTCAGTTTCAGTTGTTTTTTTAAGTTATACCCACAGCATTTGCAAAATGTGTTAATTCAGGGTTTCATTACCTTAAATATTGTTATTTTTGAAGATTTAAATAGCAGATACAGATAGCCATATTGTACATTCACAATCCTCTGTAAGAACTTTCATGCCAAAAGCAAAAACAAAAATTATGATATTAAAACAAAAGTTCCCAAATATTTATACCTCAGCACTGTGTATGAGAAGAAAGCATTCTACACTTCATGGCAGATATATGACTGCATTTCAGTTTTTCTACTGGAAAAACGGTCTATTAGAATCTAAAATGTATAGCTCCTATTTACAACAAATCCTTTGGATCAATAAAGAATAGGATATCATAGGATAAATAAAATAAAATAAAATGATTTAAAAAATAATAAAAATAATAATAGTATGCTTAGGCTAATTTCCAGATCTAAAAGTATTTTACATTTCAGGATAATGTATACGGAAGCCTATAGGGGGCTATATTAAAATGGTAATGCATTTTAATTTACATTTTAATTTTAATATAGACCCCTATAGGCATCCATAAATGTAATTATCTGAAATTGTTAAGAAAGCATAGGCTTTCTTTTGGCAGTTTCATATATTTGCTGGACTTTGACATCTTTGCAAGTTCTATAGACAAAAAACGGTTAACAGGCCTAATAGCTGTAGCTAAAAAGTTACCCACAGGCCATCAGGCACACATTTCTTTGACCTAGGCCTAAATGACAAATCAGATGCACATTTCAGAGAACCAAACAAACTTCCAGAAATACAACTTTGATATGGCTTCTTTCATAAAGCTGTTATGCCCTGCAGGCCTGCCAAGGCCACCCATGTGATTTAGCATGTTTGTTCGTCACCCGGACATTTATTTTTGGGGGAGTAGTTCACACAATGCCATGAAAGCTTTTTTAAGATGCATCATATAATCTGAACTACAATGCTTTTCTCTTATATTTTATTTCCTGCTCTTCTTGCACCATGCGTGAACAAATTATTCTGGTCAGTTCATTGCTATATTAAATAAAGTGTTATCTTAGCAGCTGTAAATGTTATTGTCAGTAGAAATCAGATGATGAGATGCGCAAAGATGGCAGTTATTTTAAAAACAGTAGGAAAGAAGCGGAGTAAAAATTACTAGGAGGGTTGAAAGGCAGCTACATCAGAAAACATGTTTTGTCAAGCACTGAGTTTAGCTTACTTTAAATATGGATAAATATAGATAAGACATAGATCCAACCTCTGGTATAATGCAGAGACATTTGTTCATTAATGAGCAGGCTCATTAATCACAAGTTAAAAATTCAGTTCAGATATATAATTTAACAATTACAGGTTTACAAAATAAATGACTTTTGCCAATATAATCTTTACTATAATTTAGTCCAGTAAACCATGGACTCTCTTAACAGTTTCCAATCTAAGGATCTCTCCTAGTTAAGATGATGTTTCACAGTGCCAGAACATGTGCACTGAGTGACTTAAAAATAAATTAACACTGAAATGAAACTGAAATCCATGCGTGGAAACAATCATAGAATCCACGATGAGGTGTACCACGGTCTTTTTTAGAGTCTTTGTTACACTTCAGCTTCTGACACAATGTAGATGCAGGAAGAAGAGGTGGCCGACAGTGTTGATAACCTGATGATATTGTTGTCTTCCTACATGCACATGGTTTCACACACCAAAGCACCAAGAACACAGGACCAGTTCCTGCAGGGTTTTACGCAGCTCCTGGCTCCGGTAGGCGTAGATGAGCGGGTCGATGAGCGAGTTACAGATGATGAGGATGAGGAAAAGGTTAAAGTTTCTGAAGAAACAGTTGCAGAAGGGGCTGGTGGGGCAGGTGAGGATGAGGATAAGGTGGAGGAAGAAGGGGCCCCAGCACAGAATGAAGACCCCAAGCAGGATGGTGAGGGTAATCGCTCCCTTCATGCTCGTGGACTGGCGCCTGCTTTTATGAAAAGCCTCAATGCGCCGGGAATGCACGTGCGCCAGGAGAAACATGTGCAGGTACAGCACGGCGTTAAACACCAGAGTGATGCAGAAGAAGGTCACGAGGCACACGATGACAGCGTTGTCGGTGTGGTACACGATGAACAGGATGCTGGAGGTGATGCTGGCCAGCCACACTACCGCGATAATGGTAACGGCGCGCTGCGTGGTCATGATGCTGTGATAACGCAGCGCATAAAATATAGTTATGTAGCGATCCGCCGCGATGGTGCACAGGAAGGAGAGCGAGGACACCACTGAGCTGCAGATCATCACGTCGATAACGTTGTCCAGGTGGCGCAGCATGCCAGGGTGCACGTCCATCAGGCCGTGGTCGTTAAGAAGCATGAATATGGTCTCCACCACGTTGCTGACACTGACCAGCATGTCAGACACGGCCAGGCAGCAGATAAAGTAATACATAGGCGAGTGCAGGTTGCGGTTCTTGATGATGGCCAAGACCACTAGGATGTTCTCCACCAGGCTGATGACCCCCAGAGCCAGGAAAAGCTCCTGTGGGATGCGGATCTGCACGCAGCTCAACGAGTTTCGCTCTCCGGTGGTGGAGTTTGTTTCGTTGTCCTCCATAAAGTAATTTAGCGGGATGAAATCCACATGGAGGATGGAGGGGTTATGCAGGGACCTGTTGGTCATTTCCATGTCTGACTTTTGACTGGTTTACAGGCTGTCCAGGTGGATCTAACTTTCACCACAGCGTCAATGAAGTTTTATCAGTTTTCTCTGTGGTTTCGAGGATCCCTCTGTCTGCTGTTGCAGTCACACGTTGCCCCGCAGCCAGTTGAAAGCGTCTCGACCGAACAGTTGTTGAACCCATCAACGAGTTGACTGTTAAATATCCAGAAAGCGGCCCCCTAACAACTGTCAAATTTACGCACAGCAGCAGTCCGGAGAGTTTGCGCGTTTATCCGTGTGAAAAGCGCGCGTCCTTGCCGCAAGTCTTCTTCTTAGGCATGCGACTTGTCCAGCACGGAAATCCATATAGCTCCCTTCTCCATCAAAACATTACGCTCACAATTCGTGATTTTTCACTCTCTTGGGGGCCCGACATGCCCATCCGCAAAACTCCTCGTATCCGTTGACAGATGTCAGCCTACCTCGAGAAGTGGAGATTGTGACTTAACATTTCTCAAAGTGATGCTGGATTCTGAAGGACTTCAGGGGACTCCTCCTCTCACGTCAGTTGGGCTGAGATCTTGTCTCGGTAATGTCTGATACTAACTATAAAAGGAGAGGAAAACAGCGTTGCTCAGCCTTCATCTTTTACCTCTTTGACATTCGGATAAATGACAAACTGCTTCCTATTAGCCTATCTGTGAGTGTGGTTTAACTTCAATAATTGACGGTAATAGTAATTCACCATCTCAAAGAACACCTATATGCACCATGCCCAATGGAATCACCACTTCACCTGTCAGCCTATTTTCTCGGTCATTGCTTATCCAAGCACTGTAAACGTTTTCTGTGCGTGGGGTTTAAAAAGCACTTTCTTTTGAAATCCTGTATTTGAAGTAAGCCTACTGAATCCAATGTATAAGTTAGATCAATCTTAAGTAGGCTATAGGTTCATATTTTTTCAAGTGTATCTTAATACAATACTCACATGCCCTTATTGAAAAGGTTATGCGCTCTAATGTGAAACAGACAAATCAATGGGTTTTGCACTGACCTGTGAAGACGTCACCTTGAGCTCTGTCAACTTGCAAATGGCTTTTTTCACTATTACAGTGCAGTTTTTGCAGAAAATAGCTAGGGATAAATAAATATTTGCTTAAATTTTTTGAGCGGTGGATGATGATAATTATGTTACGGATATAGATTTGCTCAAGTTGTTTTTTTTGTTTTTTTAAATTCTGGTTACCTGCCGACGTTTTCATTCCGTAAGGGTCACATCCGACAGACTCTCACACAGCTACTTTTGTGGCACTGATATGAAAGCCTTTCTATACCACCACTGGATCACATGAAATATTCTCACAGCATCAACTAGCTCCAGGTGAATTAGGAACAATGACGTCATTTTACCATGAAGTACAGTCACACTGTTATCATGTGGCTCACTGGGGGACCCAAGTTAGTGTATGGACAGCTACAGTATGCCTGGAGGGTGATTTGTTCAGTATCTCCAAAGTTGATGTCGTCTGGGGGCCAAGAAGCCATAGGTTGAATCAAGCTTAATATTTTCTATCTCTAATGAAAATCTGCTGTGCTTATTGTAACGAAAAAAGTAAAAAGTAAATTCATAAAATTTAAAATCTCCAACTGGGAGGCTTATGTGACATGTTGTCTGAGAGGTTTGACAGGTAGATACAACCAGCACTTCATGAGAGACACTTCCTTCTGCCAGATGAAAACCATGTATGGGCTTTGTTGACTGTCAGGTTCAAACATCTTCATTCACACATGGCAAACGGTGAAACATAAGTGATGTAGGTTAGCCGTTACAGCCTCATGTCAAAGATGCTCACAAGTCTTTGAGCTAGAGTCCAAGTCAAGTCTCAAGTCACTCGTGGTTATAATGCATGTTGTATCACATGCTGCGATCAATCCAGGCTGCTTATAAAACTGCATAGCTATAAAGGGATTCATTAGCTGTAACCTGTTTTTCACAGAGCACAACCATGTAATGTGCAAAGCAATTAATGACAGCTTATTAACTACTGTAAGTCAACACACACCCCAGACTCTCAAACCCAGTGTAACGTTATAACTAAATTAAACTGTAATGTTGCATGATCAACAATAAACCTGTAACCTGTTTGCAGCCAACATTAATAATTAACGTGATGGCAGCCAGTGGGACTAAATGATTACGTTAATCGACTACTACAAGTTCGGCAAGTAAACAAACGCGCGTTCATCTTTTCATATCTCGTAGCTAAAGCAAGAAGCAAGCTAACGTTACATGGCCAAAGCTGGGCTAAACATGTTTACTAACCTATTTTGCGTTCGGCACTTTTAAAGCCAAAGTTTATGATGAATGGCACAGCAGCTGCTGGTGTTTATTGTCCCCTCTCACCTGTGGCCGCGCTCAGCTGATATTACGTGTAACATAGTTCTCCGGTGTTTTGACGATCTATGCTGCCTTGTCGAAAAATGCTACCTTATGTGTTCCCTTTTCCAATTCCATAAAGTTATAACTCTCACAGTATTATGACATATTCTGTTTTTTGATTATATTACAACATCATTTCAGGGGTAGCGTATTCTGATAGACTAATATCCCCCATCAAATAATGCTCCCATTACAGAATCATTTTATATTGCACCACTACTCACTCCACATGTACTGTACGGATATGGGGAGCATGTTGAAATACTATATTATGCCATCTTTATTTAAGATATCAGGGGTAGCGTATTCTGATAGACTAATAATGGTTTCTTTTTGATGTTACTGACGATCAGCCACTTTCTCGACGGTATTCCCAACAGCAAGGTTGCAGATTTATGGGCGTGGGAACAAACCACGCTTGTGGGTCGTACACATGCGCAGAACCCCTAAGTAGGACATCTCGATAGGTAGCATAAATCGACAGAACACCGGAATTCCCGGCGAGGCGTTTTTGTATTCGACAATATATAAATATGTCAGTGGAAAATATTCTTGCATATTTTTTGTCGCGTGTTAGGTGGATGTGTACAGCGCCAGTCTTCCTCTGCACAATTGGTGGGCTGACACTCATTGGCTATTGAAGGCCGTGAACAGGGCATGGAAGTTTCTATTGGGTCAATGAAGGTGTCACTCAAAAAGTCAACGTGTAGACGCGTTTTGTGTTTACATGCTAGCTGTAGTTAGGCTAATATAAAGCGACGCAATAGCAGTCCGTGTGTATTTATTGAAATAATAATGAGTTTTTGACTTATTATTTTAATGGACTGGATCGTCTGGACCTTTGCCAACGTAACAAGGCCATTTTTGTGGAATGTAATCCACCGGTGGAGTAGCTACAGATAAGTGGTGTCAATTTTGATAATAGGCAGTGCTTGAAGTGGTCCACCGATACCAGTAAGTTACTTGTACATTTTACGCATTGGCGTCCCGGGACTTTTCTTGCGTACCGCTCAGGTACCGATGGGCTCTATGTGGCGCTCATCTGTTCCCATTCTCGCCCGTTTGCTAATTTCTGTAGAGGAGCAGGTAGAAGCTACATGCTTTTCATGCAGCTGTGAGCTCCCATGTGAATGGGGAGTACCAGCAGGGCTGGGCAATAAAATAATAATGATAATTACTGCAACATAATGTTCCTCAATAACAATATAACAAATATTTAATAAGTGTTTGATTTCATTAATTTGAATCACGAACAAATCAGCACTTTACTTTGTTAAGGAAAAGGTACTGAAAAAAATATTAATTAATTGAAATTTACTTAATAATTGTTTTGAATGTTTTACCTCAGTTTTGTTAAGTGATCCCAGTGTTTCCCATAGAATAGACAGTGTAACTGTGGCACCACCTATAAACAACGTGGTAACCTCGACACCCCAGCTGTATTCTAAGGTTAACTTAGCTCTTCTTATTAGCTAGGCTCCTTATGTGCTCGGTAATAACGTTTTTTTAAGCTGGGCGTCCTACAGCGTTGTGTTGGACAGATTTGTGCAGCGGTGTTCATGAGGGGGACGAGCGAGAGGATGTGCTGCGTGAATACGCTACACGCTCTGCAATCAAATACCAAAAATCAGTCAGCCTTAATATTGTGGCGGCCGCCACAAATACATTAACGTATGGGAAACACTGGATCCACTGTTTGGCAAAAAAGTTTAAAACCACAATTAATCCATCTGGTTTCTTCAACTTTAACTCAGGAGCAAAAATCTGCCTTATAATGATTTGCCATTTATCATAAGAATAATCGATACTGAATGATGCGAAATGTTTTATCATGATAACATTTTCAGCCATATTGCCCCGCACCTATATTTTCCACTTCAAGCACTGATTATAGAGATTGCTAAGACATGTGACCAACTAGGCGGGAACGTCATCAAAACGCAAAGAATTATGTGTATGTTTGGCCTGTTTACATGGGCTGGCATAGCAGGCTAGCGTTCAGGCATGAAAATAATGGAAAGTTAGCCACAGAAAATAATGACAAATTTGCGTGACAAACTTCTGGTGGCATAAAATGTTACCAGAATGCAGGAAATGAACAGTTTAATGCTCAAAATCTTTCCACATTGAACGTTTTATCAAACCAGTGTACAACTATCTTCTTGTCTTTTTCTTGTAAACCCAGAATTGTGTTTCTTCATATTTCCTGAGCCAAGTGTAGAACCCTAATCTGAGTCCCTATGTCCCTGTCAGTTTTCAACACAAAGCTACACTCTTGCCCCCTACCCTCCATCTTTCAGGCACAGAAAAATTTCTTGCTTTAAGCCCTGGGTTATAGTTAATGAAGGGAGGGGAATAATGGCAAGCTCATCAGACATTTCCTAAAAATAAACACTGATCACGAGTCCCGCACCTCGAGTCCGAGTTAAGTCTGAAGTCTTTTGAGGACGACTCTCAAGTAGAGTCTGAAGTCACTGTGTGTGCAACTTAAGTCAGACTCGAATCGAGTCTCAAACTCGAGTCCCCATCACTGCCTCAGGTTTTAAGTGCAGTCAGCCGTCACTGAGTGGGGTCATGAGAATTTGATGGAGTGCAAAGGAAGTATTAAAAATCCATTTAGGAAAAATTTATAAAATATCTACCATACTCTTGCACTGTATATAACTTGACAGACAGCAGCAGACTACTGGAAAAATTCGGACCAATTCTCTGTACTGTTTTATTGGGTGGAGTAAGCCACAAATAATCAAATAACGGCAATCAACTCAAAGTTAAATGTGAGAATGGGTTCCAAACAGAGCAGGAGTGAAGGAGCATAAAAGAAAAAGGGAAAACATCAGACATCCTGCTTTAGTGATAAGAGTTACACAAGAATAAAAAAAAAACGATTCTCATACCAGTTTTCCAATAAAATGATTATGTGACAAAAGTCAGAAAATAACCATTTAATCAACATATTTTGGTTTGGGTTAGACCGAAGAACAGATTCACAGCATTGTGATGGTTTCGATTTAGGATATGCTGAAATCTGCAGGAGACAAGACTAAAATGAAATCATGATGATGGAAAATGAAATGCGAATGAATCATAAAAGAGAATGAGCCAAGTCAACTGGAGACCCAGCCTTGCATTGCTTGAATGCATCCACAACAGGTCACAATAGAGATAAGATATATTATCTGAAAATTTGGTGATTATTTTTCTCCCCATCGGAAGTGACTGAATTTGCAGCAACTTTTCTAAAATACTGTGATGCAATTTGGCACTGTTTGTAGAACTAGAATAATTAATGTTAAATTTTTTTTTTGGGAGTCCCTTGCCATATTTAGCAAATCTTTTGGTAGGAAAGCACAGGTCTGAAGAGTGGGTAAACACAGTTATCATTTATAAAAGAGCTTCATATATATTGATTTTTCTTTTTAATTTAACATCTGAATATGTGCTATTCCCAACACAAAATCCCACAACAGCTGTGGTTATTTATTCCACCTTCAATAACATTTAACAGATTAAAATGCTTATCTGGCTCAGAATTTAACCATTAAATATTTCCATTAAACAGTTCCGTTGTGTTCAACGCAATTAATTAGCTTTCCGTCACTAAAAGTTAACATGGACTTCAATGCCTTGAACTGCTTTGAAATGTGTTTTAAGTGACAAGATCTGTTGGTCTTCAATGAGAATAAAAACTCTCTCTCAGATTATGTGGTAAAAACAAAAAACACAACCTGTGTTACAGTGCTGCCAACTCAACAAGAGAACCTTTTCAACTTTGTTCTCGTTTCATGAAGCAGTCCACTGTTTGTGAACATGGAAAAACTCCAAAAGCCAGAAACTAGAGGAAGAAGAGTAGCTGCCATTATGTACTAATGCTGCTCAACGCATGACTGGAGATGTTAGATTCCAAAATGATTATAAATTATAAATAACACCATCAACTTTAGTGACATGACAAGTTCAACTAACCAATCTGTTTTCTGACTCTGGAAAAAATTTCTCCATGTTAACAATTGTGTGGATTGGCCAAGAGTACTGTTTTTTCTTCATTCAAATGCCACTAAAGCAGAGGAGCGGACTGGCTCGTAAGACCAAGTCATCTCTTCCTCTCACTTTAGTATTCTGAAATTGTGACAATAATAAAATACTATTCAGTTATCCCACACCAACTCCTATTAATTATACTAAACACCATTCAATTTATCGATTTTCTTGTCATTAAGTTTTTAAAGGTTCGTCGTCTACTTGGTTCCTCCTCATCCTCACGCTTAAAATTCCATCTCTGTCTCCCTCCTCACTCAGTCCCATTCATCCTCATCTCTGTAGGGGTTGTCCTCTCTCGGTGGCTCTTGAAACCTGATGTTTGCCAGCATGTCCCTCATTGCCACCATTAGACGATTCACCTCCTGGTTCAGCTCCTGACCGGCTCGAGCCACTTCCATGTCATCCTCCTGCCTCTGTCCACCCTTAACAAGAAAAGAGACGTCAGTTAATATACAAATATCTAGAATCTAATCACTTCTATGTTAGCATATGGCCATCGCTAGTGTTGCAGTTGTTCTCTGCCATGGCTATCGAATGGAAGACAATCTGACATTTCTGTTCATTTCTTATATTTCATAATTTTCTAAAAGTGTATTTTAATAAAATCCTGTAATAGTTACCTCTAGGTTCAACGGCCTTACCTCTCTGGAAACACTTGATGGTGAAACAAACAAAAGTGCTCTGTTGATAGCAAGGTTATTTTGCTAACGTGAACATTATTTATTTAAATCGCTTGTATTGTTAATGATTGATAAATATTAAATCCACTTTTGCTGGGGTGGGGGCAGCATGAACTTTTTTTGGCTTCTGAAGGGGCGTGACAGAAAATGTTTGAGAACCACTGCACAAAGGTGAACATTTGATAGGTACACAAGCAAACTCAGATAATTAACACAAAGTGTTACAAAGTACCCTTATGATGTTTTTAGAAATACAATGGATGGAACCTTCAGCATTTGTCTGTTTAATCAAACAGAGGTGATCCAGGTTTATATAACATAACATTCTGTTTTCAGATATGTAACTCTATTTCAACTGTAAAAAAGAGGAACGTAGTAGCACATCTTCCCTCGTCTTAACTATACTTCTATGTAGCTCTTCCTCTCCATAAGTGGATAACATGATCAGGATAAATGGAGCCATCCTGATGGAAACATGCCCTGGGCCCATCTGTTAACATCATGTATTGCTGACCACATGATGTTTTATTTGTGGATGTACCTTTTATGTATCTTGTATGTATTGTGGTGCCAGTTGGTTTGTGCTGCACGCTAGCAGTGGAATAAAAGACCAACGATGTGATACACGAAACTTTAAAACTTCAAATATTAAAGACTTTGTGTACAAATATGAAGAAATATGCATTCGCAGTCTGCATAATGTTTAAGATCAGCTGGGTACGCAGCGTTCCATGCTAAACACGTCAGTCAATGTCTCCTTCTTTATTCTTGTTGGAACGTAAACCAAACTTGTTCTGTTTTGGCACCGATAACATCCTTCCAAAGAACCAAGAAGCCTTTGTCTTTACAATATTCACTAGTACATATTATAGACTGTTACAGATTGTTGTGTTATTACAGGAATCCTTCAAGTTATTCTGATTGCAAGTTTTTGTTTGTAGAAAAATAAAATTACCCCAGTGGAAACAGGTTCAGTCCATTTGTTCCTTACAGCCAATGTGATGAAAAGTACATTGCTGTCAGACACAGTGCCTTTTTTTTGTTGCCACCACTGGGGGGTCAGAAATGTTCATTTTCTATACAGCGTTTTTTACGTCATGGATTAAAAACCCTGTAGCATTTTCTTTTACACAAACAAGTTCTGTTTCCATTCAGTGTTTCTCCACTGAACTTGCTATATCACACTTAGAAACTGTCATAAAAGCTGCGCTTAGTTCCTAAAACACATTTTCCTCTTGTGTCAAAGGAACATAACAGAAAGTCACAAAGAAAATAATGTGGAGTAAAAAGGAGCAGAAAGAGTGAACACTCATTTGTTTCTGAGGACAAGATGAACTAAGGATGATTAATTTATCGAATACCACCCCCAACTTAAATTGACCACACTGCTGACATTTGAAATGTTTTAAAATCAAATTATACTTCTGGTTAACGGAGTGAAGTTCGACAATTAAAAACGAAAAGAAGCATTTTTTTCCCGGCCCACTGGACTGATTGGCTAGGTAGCATCAAAGTAACATCCACTTCCACAAGGAAGATTCAAGATTGACTAAATGCCCTACAAAAAATAAGGGGAAAAACCTGATAGCTTGGCTCTATAAATGAATAATCAATAAAACAAGCATCAAACTTTTATGAAACACTATTATGAAAGAGACAGTAAAAAAACGAAGGCCACAAAACAACTTTGCACTTTATGAATGTTGTTTTTGTTTTGCTCTTCAGTGACATACTGGGAATTGGTGGGCAGAATTAACTGTAACAAGGTCATATGCCTTACTTTGATATTTTTCAGTGGTCACCCCCTAAGGGTAACCATTATTTTTTGGAGGAAATATTCCATCAGTCAAGGATACGTTTTAAGATGTTTTCCCAGATCTTTTACCAGTTAAATGTTTTCACCAGCCCTGGAGGGTCCTACTACTAAAATGGTTGTGTCTGTGTGTTATTCTAGTAATCGTTAAAGAGAAAACCCAACCTTAAAAACACATTTTACATGATGTTCTTTCCAGCATTTTGGACAATAAAGTCAATTAACAGACAACTCTCAGGATAGCTCGCAGGAAATCAGAGCACCAAGAAAATAATTTGTGATTTCATTATAAATATTCACAGACTCACAGAATTAATTAGAGACAAATTAGTTTTATTTGAAGCTTATTTCCCCACATCCACCCCATGGGCCCTTTATTTGTGTCCTAGAAGCACCAGGATTCGTCTTCAGATGACAGCCCTACAGTTTGGTCGTCCGGATTAAGGAGGGACTTGCTCAAATTCACAAATTATAACTGAGATGTATAACATAATAAAAAAAAACAGCTGAACTCAGCTTTGAAGTGTATTTTGTTTGAATAGTTGAAGTTGTTTTTAAATTCATGGACGACAACCATAATTTGTGTCTTCCCATAAAACTAACTTAACAACTCTTGCACATGCACTAAACAACCACTATTCAATTAATTCCCTACCAGACCTATTTTGCATGATCCATGCGACTTACCTGAAGGTTGAAGTTTGGCAGCAAAGACCGGAAAAACAGCGACAATGTACTCTCATTGGATGCACCGACACGCTGCCTATATGCAAACACACACACACACACACACACACACACTAAAGTGTAAATGTGTCTTCTTTGACTGTACGATGGAATTTCATGTACACAGATGTATGGGTTCTCTATCACCTCTCTGGTCGGGTGTATGATATCACAGAGTCCAGTGGAGGCAGAGGGTCAAAGCCCATCACAGGCTGACTGGTCACATCCTGAGGGGATCAAACAAATAAGCAAGGTTAGAGCCACTTCCATAGGGATGCATAAATACTCCAGAGGTTGTCAGCATTCTATTGATCCTATTATGTGTCTTTAAGCCAGGTGTGGATCCAAGTTATCGATCAGTTTCACCAGCTTTTTCGCAACCAACAACCATATGTTAAGACATGTTAATGGTGCAGCTTATGATTGTCTGAAGGTCTGCGTGTCTATATTGGTATACAGTTCTTCTTGGTGTTCCTTTTGGTGTTTTGACTTGTGTCACCATAATAATGATGGAGACAAAGCAATCTGTGAAAAAAACAAAAAATTGTATATCTTCTTTCTTCAATCTAAATCTCCCAATATATCCTTCCCTGAGAACTAACCTACTGCCATAACTTAGCCTGCAATTGAACTATTGCATGCTTGATGATTTATGACTAACTTGTCACAAGCCAGACAAATCACATCACTATAAATGGCTAGCCTTTTTCCTTAATTGTAAAAAGGCGAGGCTGGCCACAAAGTGGTATTGGAGATTGATCCCCGGTTGGTGACCAATGTGAGGTGGAACACAGCAGGAATCTTTTACAGTTAGGAAATATAGCTGCAAGGTTTTGCTTCTATTATTTCATCATTTAAAAACATAGATGTGTGTGAACAAGTAGCAACAACTAAACTGACAAAACTTATCAGAGAAAAAACTTTTTTCCAGATGAGATTTGCCAGTCTGATCTAACAACTGCTTGTATTTTTGGTATAAATAAATATATAAAAATGTTTTTTTTAAAGCCATATCTGGTTACAGTTATGGTGAACTAAATCTGTGAATGTGCAATATGGGCATCAAATATTTGGAAAACCTTAGCATGCATGCACAAGAAAATTGACAAAATTTTGATCCTATAGATGCCTTGGATGGATCATTGTAGGCTATATGAAATGGTGCAATGGTCTTCACTAGCCACACGGAGACAGTTCCATTTGAGTGTTTTTATCTACAGGGTAATCCTGGTCAAACTACTCAGTTATCTGGGTAACCTCCTTAACGTCGTGGACAGTAGTTACCAAACATGGACTAGCAGGCTACTACCTCTAAAGGCTGATTTCTCAATTGACCCTTCGCTAAGCTGCTGTTTTAGCTTTTGGAAAGGTAGCAAAGAAAAATTCCTTTCACTGTCTAACTTGTAAAAAATATAAATTGACACAATGTTTCGGTACTAGCCATCAAAAAGAAGCCATCTTTTGTAGGTGACTTATTTGTCTACACCAATCACCTACTTCATCATAAAATAAGGCAGCCATTACAAAACATTCATTCATATTTCCATGAGATGAATGTAGATTTCTGTATACTGAATGTACATCAAAACAATATCATAACATGCAATCATAAATAGACATACTCGCAAATCTTACTAGTGCCTTATATATCAATAGATAACTTAGAGGAAATAGCAAATAAACAGAATGCTAGATAAATAGAGGAAAAAAACCTAATACATACGACATATGACCCGAAAAACAATAGGTCCAAAAAACAACAATCTCATACTTCAACAATATAATTGTAAACTAACAGTGAAATTTATAAAAATTCTAGCACAAAAGGAATACATCACCATATATGTTAAAATATTCACATCACCATAAGTGTCAAAATCTTCACATTATTATATATGTGCAACAAATAACTTGTAGCAGTGGATACATATTTAGATGGACACAGTGTTTAATGGTCTTGATAATGTGTGTGCATATTCATACGTATCCAGGTGGTAGGGTGATTTATTTTATAAGGAAGTAAGTGATTGGTGTAGCCAAATAAGTCACCTCCTGCAAACGATGGCTTCTCACTATGTAACACCATTTGCCTGATGGTCTAGTACCGAAACGTTGTGTCAATATATATTTTTTGCAAGTTAGACAGTGTGCGGGTGTTTTTCTTTGCTACCTTTGACTCTCCCGTCCCCCTCCGATGCACCTGTCTATCGTTATAGAGGTGCGAAGTTATTTACTTATTAGCTTTTGGAAAGGGAATAAATCGTACTTCTCTGTGTTGCGATTATAACTATTAAGTGCCCCAGGAACAACTCTGACCACATCTTGGAAAAATATGGCAAAAGAAAGCTAGAAAACGACTCTTTTTGCATTAGAGTCAATGGAGCGCCACCATGAGTGTCGGACCTCACTTAGAACGAGTCCTATACTGCACTGTGATTGGCCAGCGGCATATTCGGGGCGTGGCTTAGCAAAGGTCAATTGCGTAAATAGGCATCTTGGAAATTTAATGTACTGTATTGTCATATGTGTGTATACGTGTTTTATTAATGCTTCATATTGTCGTATGTGAACTTTTAATGCTGTCCTGCTGCCTTTCTTGGCCAGGTCTCCCTTGAAAAAGAGATCTTATCTCAATGGGCTCTCCTGGTTAAATAAAGGTAAAATAAAAAATAAATAAAATTTAAAAAATGCCCATCACGCCTCTAGTGTTTATTGTGGATATAGTGAAATGTGTTAAAGTGTAGTTGCTGATTGTTTCTCACTAGAGGCAGACTTGATGTGGCTTCTTTGATCTCGGAGAGGAGGACGTGGCGATGTATATTCCTTGGTGCACTCTGGTACCTTTGCTTTCTCCTGAAACAGAGTGATGAAGGTATGCTAATGAGTGTAGCACAATGGCACAGAGATATGAACTACTGACCGCAGAGCAGCTCACTGAGATCTTACTTGTTTTGACAGTCCTCCACCAGAGGGTCTTTGGCATCAACTCGGTGCAGCACCTCTTTCACAGACTCTTCCAACCACAGCATTGCTGCTGCTTCCCTCCACAGGCTGCAAGTCCTCCCCACATACAGTGCAGTCAGTTCAGCCAGGGCCGGGGGCTGCCTAGAGACAGAAGGT